TGGGGGGCATCCGTGCGTGCATGTCTGTACGTGAGCACTTCTTGTCGCTTGAGCCCATTTGCGGTCGGGGGGGCATGTGTGGGGGTGGGAGATCTTTCTCTGCGGCCTGTTCCTGCCATGGCCTGATACCCGGGGGTTGGGGACCCCAGCTATAGACCATTTAGACTGCTGCCATTAGTTTTGTTGTGCCCTTTAATAATAAACCTTGGCATTGTTTTTCTTGCTGGGAACAGAGGCATGATATTGTACAGCAATATCAAGCTCTTTCATGGATTTTTGAACCATGAGTGCACAAGCACAATATCCCACACTCATATACTTGAAATATTTTGAATTGAGTATGTGTTGAATATTGAATGTGTCTGTGTGAGACCTTACAGCAGTGATGTAAGAGGGCAGTACTGTAGATTGTTTGCTTATTATCTAAGTAGTAGTCAGTCTCCTCCAAAAGGGAAATTCCCAAACATTTTGGGTTCATGGCTCCCTTCATTTTCTGACCACTGCTCATGGCTTCCCTTGCTTGGAGGGGCCATCAGGGCTCTCTCTCTACCAAGAGCAGGATCTTGACCTCCTCCTCCAGCCATCCATCTTCCCACCCCCAAATATACCTAAGGACACTCCTTTCAGTTCCTGACAGAGGAAACTCCTGAGGCTACCCGGCAAGCACGTCCACTGGGAACCATAGAGATGGGGCAAGGAGAGGCAGGCTCACAGCCTTCACTTATGTTCCTGTTAGACATAGAGCTATGAAAGTGATAGGGGAACTGTCCATAGAGCTATGAAAGTGATAGGGGAACTGTCCATAGAGCTATAAATAGCTGTCTATAGGCTTCGTAGCTGTATGTTCCATCCCCTTTCCCATGGCACTCCTACCTGGGTTTCACACAAATTCCTGGAGCCATGGTGCAAAATTTGGAAATCCCTGACCTAAAGGATCAGACTCGTAGTTAAGTCTAGAATTCTTATTAGAGGCATAAATGATATGTCTTTTCTCAGTTAAGAGTAGGGCTTAGATGTAGCGGTATTGTGTAACATGGGTCCTTGGGCCCTTCAGATAATTTGGCCTGCAATATCCATAATCTCTTACCTTTAGTTAGGTCAAGACATCTACAGTCCAAAACATCAACATATTTCTCATGCTGATATATGGAATATATCCAAAACATGAATTCACGACAGTATAGCCCTGGGAACAAACTTGTAAGAGCTATTGAAATAGAAGTTCATCAAAGTTGTTCGTTACTTATTCCATACCAGAGACTGGTTTGCCTTTGTATGTATAGCTCATTAATTTATGAGGGTGCTTTTGAATTTTTAAATTTTACATTGTTTAAAGGGGGGAATCTCTTGAGTTATTACAAAATTGCATTAAAATGTATTGACGTGATTGTTCAGAGGTGTGGTTAAATAAAATTGAACTAACTTGTATGAAAAGTATAAAACAAATAATAGTATACTATATGAAGATATCAACCAAATAAGTCATTGCAGAATTCAATGTATTTGCAGTAACAAATGTTTCATTCAGTAGAATGGTCTGAGCATCCATGGGCAATCGTTAAAAGCTATAATATAAATGTGTAGTAAATATATTCAAGTGTGTGTCTTACTCTACTTTTTAAAGGCACTTTATTTGTTGAGTTTATTAAATTTACATTTTAAGAAGTATAGTGATTGTGAGGAATGAACAATGGAAAAAATAATTAAATAACATATATAACTCAAATAGATAACCAAGCATTTTGGTTTATAGTTGGAGAGGGGAATACAGCTCTTTAACCAACAAGGTATTTTAACTTTTGTTGGCTAACACGTCGGTAGTAGTAGTAGTATGAAAATGGAAATTCTATGTTTTTAGAAACAAATATATTTCTGGCTGGAATCCTGTTGGCATAAAATCATCAGCATAATTTTCAGTGGCAGATTTCTGTAAGTTAAGAAATTAGCATAGGTATTTGCTGAAATCCAGACCTGGATGTCCCGGACAACCCAGATACTGTGATGGCTGACCTTGAGCCAGACATCCTGGAGAGTGAAGTCAAGTGGGCCTTAGAAAGCCTGGCTAACAATAAGGCCAGTGGAGGTGATGACATTCCAGTCGAACTATTTAAAATCTTAAAAGAGGATGGTGTTAAGGTCCTACACTCAATATGCTGAGTTTGGAAAACTCAGCAGAGGATTGGAAAAGATCAGTCTACATCCCAATCCCAAAGAAGGCAGTGCCAAAGAATGCTCCAACTACCACACAATTGCACTCATTTCCCACGCTAGCAACATTATGCTCAAAATCCTGCAAGGTAGGCTTCAGCAGTGCAGTATGTGGACCGAGAACTCCCGGAAGTACAAGTTGGATTTCAAAGGAGCAGAGAAACTAGAGACAAAATTGCTAACATGTGCTGGATTATGGAGAAAGCCAGAGAGTTCCAGAAAAAATCTTCATTGACTATGCAAAAGCCTTTGACTGTGTGGAGCACAACAAACAATGGCAAATCTTTAAAGCTGCCCCGAGTAGACATGGTCTGGGGGGGGGACAAATAAATAAATAAAATAAATAAATGGGAGTGCCTGACCACCGTATCTATCTCTTGAGAAATCTATATGTGGGACAGGAAGCAATAGTAAGTACTGGATATGGAACAAGTGATTGGTTCAAAATTGGGGAAAGAGTACAGCAAGGCTATATATTGTCTCCCTGCTTATTTAACATATGCAGAATACATCATACGAAAGGCTGGACGAAATGAATCCCAAGCTGGAATTAACATTGCTGGAAGAAATATCAACAACCTCAGATATGCAGATGATACCAGTCTGATGGCACTGCCTCCATATCTGTGGAATTAAAGAACCTCTTAATGAGGGTGTAAGAGGAGATCGCAAAAATGGTCTGAAGCTCAACATAAAAAAAAAACTAAAGTCGTGGCCTATGGTCCCATCATCTCCTGGCAAATCGAACGGGAAGATATGGAGGCAGTGGCAGATTTTACTTTCTTGGGCTCCATGATCGCTACAGATGGTGACAGCAGCCACAAAATTAAAAGTCGCCTGCTTCTAGGAAGGAAAGTGATGACAAACCTAGACAGCATCTGAAAAAGCAGAGACATCACCTTGCCGACAAAGGTCTGCCTAGTCAAAGCTATGGTTTTTCCGGTAGCGACATATGGAAGTGAGAGCTGGACCATAAAGAAGGCTGACTGCCAAATAATTGATGTTTTTGAACTGTGGTGCTGGAGGAGACTCCTGAGAGTCCCCTGGACTGCAAGGAGATCAAAGCTATCCGTTCTGAAGGAAATCAACCCTGAGTGCTCACTGGAAGGACAGATCCTGAAGCTGAGGTTCCAGTTCTTTGGCCTTCTCATGAGAAGAGAAGACTCCCTGGAAAAGACCCTGATGTTGAGAAAGACTGAAGGCAAGAGGAGAAGGGGACGACAGAGGATGAGATGGTTGGGCACTGAAGCTGCCAACATGAATTTGACCCAACTCTGGGAGGCAGTGGAAGACAGGAGGGCCCGGCGTGCTCTGGTCCATGGGGTCATGAAGAGTCAGACATGACTTAACGACTAAACAACAAATTTGCTGTTATTCACCAATTGCATAACTTGGTGTACAGGAGCAAATATCTAAGTTGACTTCTTAACTTGTGGCAGGTGACCACTGAAATATATGCCAATTGAGTTAACACTGGTGCATATATATAATAGGATTCCAGACTGTGTCAGTGTGTCTTTCCATTTCTTTCTGCATCACATGGAAACAATTAGATGGATTTTCACCAAATTTTGGGATAATCTAACTGAAATAGATGCATGACATGCACAAAATATACCTCTTGTTGCATGAAGCGTCACATGGCACAGAATTTTAAAGGTTTTGATGAGCAGAGCTTTTTTTTGTTTTTTGTTTTTTGAATTATGCTATAATTCTATGAATGGGGCTGTAGCAGGCCACTCTCAAGCCTCTACCAATCCAGGCCTCTCAGAGTGCTCACTACCTCTCATCAAAACTGCTGCCACCAACCTATCCTTAAAATCACAAGGACAAGTGTTTCTTTGAAAACAAATAAAGTGTTTATTGATTACACAAAATAAAAGGAGTAAATCACAGGTTTAAAGCAATTAGTTAATCACTGTTTCTCAGACACTAGCTCACACAGACTTTTCCCTCACTGACAGGCTCTTTCTCACTCTCTATCAATCTCTCTAATCACTCATCTTCCAAACTGATCTCCACACACACCTTATATAACCCAGCTCCTCCCACTTCTGCACCACCCTCCGTCCTCTCATTGGCTGAGGTTCTCCTGCCCAGCTGTGATGGACAGGTGAGAGCAGAGCTGAATGCCACAGGGACTGTTTCCAAATATTCATTAATCAGGAGCCATGCTGGCTGGAGATTCTTGGAATAACCTTAGTTGGTACTAAGATGAAGAGAGAGAGATGCCAGTGCAAAAGAAAGACAGGGGTGCACAGAGAAGAGAGAGCCTGAAGTGACAGTCAAACTCACAGGATTTTAACTCAAGTAAAAGCTAGACCCATCAACTAGTATAAAATCAAGCAAGTAGGGTTGAGGGGTTGAGGGGTCACAAAAAACTGTGAAAGGCATAAATAACCTAGAAATTGTCTTCACTGAAATATAAACATGAACACTACGTTTGAAGCCCTAGAGATATGCTATAGTGGTCACTTGTGTATACTAATCTCAGGTATCAAGAGTAATAAGGAAACTAGTATTTTCTCCTTTTTCCACTTTTTTCCTAAATCCTGAATTATTTCCTATACCTTTAAAATAGAATGACCAGAGTGTGCACCCAGGAACGCAACCAGCACGTAATGAATAGCAGTTTGCATAAATTGCCTATAAGATTCTGTGCAGTATTGTTATTTTACAATAGTTTTTTTTAAAAAATTATCTGTACTTTGATCTTAAAGTATGGTTTACTGGATGGTATTCACCATGTTGTTCAGCATGTATGAATCCACTTTTTATTTTATTCAATGTAGGTGCAATCTTTACAGACAACATTATCTGACTCTCCAGTGATGACCAGCCCTTCTCAACGCATCCAGATAATCTCCACAGATTCCTCCGTATCCTCACCACAGCGTATTCAGGTATACTTTTTTAGTAAATGAAGTTTAGGTCATCTTAAAGTACGTATATGAGTGTATGTGATTATATAATTCAATAAAATATATTATTTGGAAATACAGTGTGTAGGTTAACATTATTATCAAATAGTGAAGAATTACCTAAGAATTGTCAAGCATTAATTCATTTTTAGAACAGTATTCTTTGCATAAATTTTGAGACATCTTCCTAGCTTATATGTACATTAAATGAATGGATAGTCTCTGTGCTGAGTAAATTTCTATTGATTTGTATTCTGTGTAGTTATATGCATATTCAAAACAATTCAAAACAAATGTTCTTCACTTTTATTTACAGTATTTTGTGCTTGATCTGCTTATGTACCATGACAATGGAGAACAATCAGAATTTCTTAATACAGTGGTGCCTCACATAGCGATGAAATCGCTTTGCGATGAAGATTTTGCGATCGCTTTTGCGATCGCTTTGCAATGTTCCCTATGGGGGAATTTTGCTTTGCGATGATTGGTTCCCTGCTTGGGGAACCGATCATGGCAAACCAATGCTTTTTAAACAGCTGATCGGCGCCACACACTACCCCCCCAGAACTCATGCATAAATAGGGGACAGTGGGAGGGGGGAGGAGGGGCGTTCCAGATTGGCACCTTGGGAGGAGGGAGGGAAGGAGGGGCGAAGGGCCTGGCCCCGATCCCCGCGCGCACCCCTGGGGCGCCGAGCCAGAGAGCCGTTGTGGCGGGAGGTGCTGCAAAGGAGGAGGCGCCCGCCCAGGACCGGGATCAGGGTGGCAGCGTCATCCTGGGCTGTCTGGCTGTCTGGCTGGTGGCTGGGGGGTGGGTGGCACACCCCTTCCCGCCCCAGGCAGCTGCCTCCAACCCCTTGCTCTCCAGAGAAAAACCCGGGACAGCCCCACCAAGGAGGCTGGGTGTCTCCGGGGCTGGCTGGCTGGCTGGCGGTGCTTTGCCATGATCGGTTCCCTGCTTGGGGAACCAATCATCGCAAAGCAATGCTTTTTTAACAGCTTTGGTGGTTTCAAAATGGCCACCTGCTGTTTTCTGGGACGGATTCCTCGCTTAACAGGCAGCAAAAATGGCCGCGCTATGGAGGATCTTCGCTGAACAGTGAGTTTGAAGCCCCTAGGAACGCATTAATCGTGTTTTAATGCGTTTCTATGGGCTTTTTATTTTCGCATTGCGACGTTTTCGTTTAGCACCAAGGACTTCAGAGGACACTTTTTGCTGAAGATCATTTTTAAATCCAGTTCTGAGGAATAGCTTTTGAAGATAATGTTGTAAAACACTGCCCTCCCCTGTTGTTTTGTCAAACTGTTCCTGCTAATGTTGTTAAAATTGCAAAAGCCAAGATACCATTTTATTGAGCAGTAAGGAAATCCATGGGGACAAGAAGATTTTACCCCTGAAAATCTGGATTTCTGATTAAAGCAGTAGAATGTGTTAATACATTTAGTATGAATCAGTGATAGAGGTTATATTACCTGTTTCAAAAGCTTTTAAGTCTCACAGACAGTTATTATTATTATTATTATTATTATTATTATTATTATTATTATTATTATTATTATAGATTGTTACAGATCAGCAAACAGGGCAGAAAATCCAAATAGTGACAGCAGTGGACTCATCAGTATCACCAAAGCAACAGTTTATATTGGCTAGCCCAGATGGAACGGGGACAGGAAAAGTGATATTGGCTGCACCTGAGTCTTCTAATACTAAGCAACTTATTTTTACAACCACAGATAATATTGTACCAAGCAGAATACAGGTAAACATGGTAACTGAAGAAAAGCATATGTGTTAGCCATAGGCCAATTCAAAGTTCTGTTTTAAGAGATGATACAGGGAAAGATCACAAAGCAAGTTAAACTGATTATTGAAATGAAAGTAAAATGTTTCACAAAAACAGATATTAACAATTATTGCTATATTGTTAACAGAGTCATTTCAGTGTGATTTTTCATGGATTATCATTTGCACAAATACTTTTGGTTTTGTTATACAAGATGGAAAAGTCTGCTTGTCTAAAAATAAGTAAATAAATGAATTTTAGTTGAATAATAGACTGGAAATGACCTGCATTCTACAAAACAGTGCATTTTCTCCCTGGATTATTATATTTTTTGTAAGCTGATTCAATGCGCAAATTGAATAAGCAGTTATAGCAGTTACTGTTACCGTCTGATTCACACAAGCTAGATATTTTGAAAGATTCCTTGTTTAGTCAAAAATTGGGCAAGGGGGGCTATTGGGTTGTTGGGGAGCATGCTTATGTGTATTACCCCTATCAGATGTCCACAAAACCATGCCATGTTCCAAGACTGTTCTTTCAGCTTGATATATTCTCCTTTTCCATCCTTTGCTATATGGCTTCCCTTTCTTCTGTTGAAAGGGACCTAAAAGTGTTCCTTATCTTAACTTGAATGTGCCTCTGCTAATATAGACTATGCATTTCAGATTGAAATAATTCTTAATTTAATTTCTTATTCAAATAGTATGATTACTCTTACAATGTTTCATTTCAGATTGTGACTGATTCTGCCTCCGTGGAACGGTTATTAGCTAAAACTGATCTCCAACGACCACAAGTAGTAGAATATTGTGTTGTCTGTGGAGACAAAGCATCAGGTATGTCATTCTAAGTTTGAAATCATCAGCCACTGGGGGGGCCAGTAGCTGCACTTGTTGTTTTGCGAAAATATCAAGGTTGCCATGAGGGGGTGCTTTTTCATAGAATGGCTGCTATACCACAAAGCCATTACACAGAAAGGCAGATTAATTAATGAGGCTAACAACTAAGGCTTGCTTTTATTTCAAAAGAATCACAGTACAATTAATAAATGTGTCTAGTATTTTATGCCAATTATGGGCAGCATCAAGAATATTTGGAATGGCCAACATCAAGTCTTCTATGGTATATGTTGAAGAACATAGAGTACTGTGACATAGGTGTGAAACTGACTGTTCTCTGCACTTGCGAAGTACTGTGATGGCAGATATTTTGATCACAGAGCATTTTCTTTTGAATAATATCATTGAATGATAAGGAGTGGAATTTTGTGCTATTGAAAAATAAACAGTGTCCTGAACAATATGTCCTGCACATTCTAAAATATATTTGAAAGTCCACCCTGTTTGTCATACTAATTGCATATTTTTAGTTTCTTGTCTTACTCTTTTTTAGGCCGTCATTATGGTGCTGTCAGTTGTGAGGGATGCAAAGGCTTCTTTAAAAGGAGTGTGAGGAAAAATCTGACCTACAGTTGCCGTAGCAACCAAGACTGTATCATCAATAAACACCATCGGAATCGCTGCCAGTTTTGTCGGCTAAAAAAATGTCTCGAGATGGGCATGAAAATGGAATGTGAGTCTACACTGCACAAAATGGTTCTTTGTCTTTCAAAATTATGGGAATTTGTTGGTTTTCTTATTACATTCTGCTCCTGTTACTCTTTCTTGCATTTTTCAACATCCAAAATTGGCATTTCTTTAATCTTTTCTATTCTAAACTTTAGTTTTTTTGGATTATTTTCAGAGTGAGTGTCCACACTGCACTAAAGCTGTTATCCTTTATTAAGTAGTCTTATTAATTCCTTGGGATGGACTTCTGAATAGAAATGCATAAGATTGCACTGTGAGTGACTAAAAATGCTAGTGTGCAGTGATAATTTTTAAGTCAAGCCATGAAACAATGCTAACATGGTATTGCATCTTGAGATCAGGTATCTTGAAAATGGGAGTGCGTTAACAGACAAAAGGCATGAGTACATAAAGCATGAGAACTCGTTGGTACTATGCACAGTAACATGGAGTGACAGTGATGAGTCACATAAATGTCATGTTGGTCTGATAAAAATGCAAAGGCTGGTTGTTTAAGACTAAGGAAAGTGATGAAATCAGCTGTAACAAAGTTGAAGCTGCTTTTTAAAGTTACCACTATGCTTTATAATTCTGCAGGAATTCAACTTTAGAAAAAGGAGGCCAATCAATCTGAGATGATACTGGCAGAAATCCTGTTGCTTTGTGTAACACAATTCGTACCTTTAGGACCTTTCTTAACTGGAAGATAAAGAGGTCCCACTATGATTCTTGAGCATGCTCCAAGTCATACCATGAGAATCATGGCAGGGGCTCCTTATCTGCCAGTTACGAACAACGATTTCAGTCACTAATTTTTAATTACAACTTTATTTTGTTTTATTATCACACATCTAATCCATGATAACCCCCACCTCTACCTTAAAATTGCAGAGCTGTACAGGACCCTGTAGATCATCAAGTCCAGCACTTGTGAAGGAGACACAGTGGGGAATCATATTCCTAACATCTGGCTTTGTAGCCAGAGACCTAAACCACTGAGCTATCTGGTAGTTCTAGGCAGTGGTTCAGAACTTAAGCAATTGATCAGAATGCACTAACAAATTGAACAGATGCTGCCATTATACTTAAATTGTTATTTACTTTTACACCAGGTGGCTTTCCTGAGGTGTTAAATAAGTTGATTAATAAAATTTAATTTTGAGGGACTCCAGAAAAAAAAAACCTGAGAGTCAGTATCAGCTATTACTGTTTTTCTGAGATGGACACCTTGAACTATTAGGTTGAGTGGAAAGCAGTGCATTAAATTAAAATAAGCAGAGATTTTACCAAGTTGAAGTCCTAAAATCTTCTTAAGAAACTATTTTTTAATAAATCTGTGAATGAACAACTTTCAGCTGTTATTATTTGCATATTGTTATGTAGCTGTACAGAGTGAAAGGAAACCTTTTGATGTGCAGCGTGAGAAACCAACCAACTGTGCTGCTTCAACAGAAAAAATATATATCAGGAAGGACTTAAGAAGCCCACTAATAGCAACTCCAACTTTTGTAGCAGATAAAGATGGCACCAGGTAAGTGACAAGTTGGTCTTTTTGAGATATCTGTAATCTAGAGTTCTTAATAAAGTATGATCAGTCACAGAACTAGAAAACAACTTTCAAAATATAGCTCCATTTCAGGACCACTATTTCCTCCTTTTAAATTTCAAATCTGTCATAACCATCGAGGATGGAATGTTCCATGCATTTTAAAAGTTATCCATGTGTTATTTTCATGATGATTTATGTAATATTTTATGTATTAGCATGAAGGATATTTCAGGTTTTAGGACAGGTTAATAATACAGGACATTACCTCAAAAGACTTTACTATCAAGACTAGGATTTGGATTTGCTATAAGTCCTTGTGAGGCAGAGATTTGTCCTATGCAACTCATCTCTAGTTTGTCATAAAACCCATAGTATTGTATCCATTATTATTCTTTTTTATTGCAAGTTGAACTTCAAAACAGGCTGTAAGATATGTAAGGGGAAAAACTTGTCAAGACACAAATAATTACCATTCTGGGAATATTCTTTTATATTGTTGTTGTGTACTGTCAAGTCGGAACTGACTTATAGTGCTCCTAATAGGGCTTTCAAGGTAATTGAGATATTAAGGAGTTGTTTTACTAGTTCCACACCTCCAGTGAGTTTCCATGGATGAGTGGATATTCAAACCCAGGTCTCTGAGTTCTAGTCCATCACTCTGTTCATTGCATCACATTGGATGTAATCTTTTTTCTATTTTACACAAAATCTGAGATTATTAATCTAAATTTACGTGCTCAACAAGTGTTTATAATTCAGTGGGAAATCACTTCATAATGAAATAGAAATTAATGGCTTACTGTAGGTCCAGACTGTTTGCAGAAAAGGTCTTTAATCCAGCAGAGTCTCTTGCTGGTAGGAAGGCATTTTCACCAATTCCCCTTGAAGTCTCCTATACTGTTCTGCAGAGTTTCCTAGTACTGTACAGTGGTGCCCCGCAAGACGATGTTAATCCATTCCATTGAAATCACTGTCTTGTGAAAACATTGTTTTGCGAAAAGCATTTCCCCATTGGAATGCACTGAAATCCATTTAATGCGTTCCAGTGGGGAAAATAGTTGTCGTTTTGCGAAGATCGCCCATAGGGAAGCCATTTTGCGAAGCGCTGATCAGCCACCTCCGCAGCCATTTCCCATTCCTGTCCTCCTCCTGCTGCCCTTCTTCACCCGCCTGCCTCCCTGCTCCCCCACGCATACACACCCACCACGCACAAAGCGAAAAATCCCAAACTGGGGCCCTCACGCTCACCTCTCGCCACGACCTGCGCCCCCCCTTCCTGAAGAGGGGTTTCCGCCGGCTTGCTTCGGGGCAATTGATTCATGAACTGTCTCGCCTGAGGAAGCGGATGGTGTGTTGGTCTCTAGCCCACACGCCAGCTTGATGAAGGGTTCCGAACAAACGCCCGCCCGGTCCGCCGCCGCCGTCCCAAACGCCACACTGGCTGACAAGCAGGCGCGAACTCTAGCAATTAGTTCTAGTGTGGAAAGAGCTCCGGAGCATGGCTGACTGCCTTAATGGGAAAAGGAGGGGCAGGGAGGAGAAAGGGGGCAACATGCGGCCACCGTGCTTGAGCTGCGAAGGGACTCATTAAGCCCCTGCCACCGCCTCCGACAGCAACATGTGCGCACACCATGAATACACAAAGCTCTTTCGGGGTCGCCATCCGCGTCCTCTTGGCGAGTGCATCTTCCTCCATGGGAAATGTTGCCTCTCTCTCTCTCTCTCGTCCAGCGAAATTCCCTCATAGGAAACACTGTTTTGTGAAGCGCAATGGCGGTCGCAAAACCTCATCATGCAGATTCGTCGTTTTGCGGGATTATTGTCTTGCGAGGTACCAATGTATTTGGGGGCATAAGCTGGAGATAGAAGGAAAACGGGTGATTGTCTCTCTGCTTCTGCTAATTCAGACATCCCATGAGTAGAGTAGACATGGAATATTTGTATTCATATCCCAAGGGAATACGAATATCCCATGTCTAGATTTTTCCTTACAGGAACCAAGTTTATTTTGTTTACCACTTGTAGGAGAATAATGTTTCAAATGCAGCTGCTACAAAAGTAAAATCAGAATAAATGAAATAAATATTTTAATAATGAAATCTCACCTAAGTGAAAGGCACTTAATTTTTTTATTTTATAAAAGAAAAATATTGTAACTGCTTAATATGTTGCCCATGATATGAAAATGCTGTTCATACTTTTTCAGATCAGCTGGACTTCTTGATTCAGGAATGCTTGTTAATATTCAGCAGCCGCTAATACGGGATGATGGTACAGTGCTCTTGACCACAGATTCCAAGGTAATGTTTCTTGAACGTCACTAAACAATTTATATTTGCTGTTTTACCATGTCGTTTTTATATTAAGGTAACACATCTCTTTATGGCTGTTCTATGCTTCCTGTGAAGCTTAGTACAGCTTCACCATATTGATGATATGCCCTGGAATATACATACCCCAGTGATGAAGAATAGGTTTGGCTTAAGTACTTGCAGTATGCATTTTATTATTTTGACTTCTGCTTTTCACTGTATTTTTTCTTTTCTCTTTAAATGGCTATAACTTATGGAAAAGGATAGATCATAGAGATAGAACATAGATGCTATTTAAAGAAGTAAGTTTGCTTAATATATGTTCTTATATATATATCTTTTTCCGTTGTAGGCTGAAACGAGTCAGGGTGCCTTGGGCACACTGGCAAATGTTGTAACATCACTTGCTAGTCTGAATGAGTCGCTTAATAATGGAGACACTTCTGAAATCCAGCAAGAAGACCAATCTGCAAGTGAGATCACTCGGTATGTGCTTAGCATTTGGAGTTTTCCTGGCTATAAGTAGTTACGTACTTAATTGACTAAAATAAGATAGCATCATTGATAATAAGCTATTCTTCATCGTGGTCTTCTATGAATGCACACAAAAGGGTTAATCCAGCACCAGCATTGGTCCTCTCGGAACATTTTTGAGCTTTAAGAGAAAAGTAACAATGTTTAAGGCTGCCTAAACCACACATGCTCCGCCCGCCCAAGCCTCAGTTCCATTTTTCCACCTAGTGAATTGGAACCTCTCGCTTTGAGCTCTATATTTTTATTATTCTTTGGACTGATATCTTCAGGTTTTTTACCTGGATTCGGACTGACTTGGAGAACTGTCGTATTCCCTGACGTGATTTTCGCCTTTTATGGAAAAGGTGAAAAGTTTGGCTGCTTCAGACTTCCCGCCTTTTTTCCCACTCCGCAAACTGCTCTAGTAAGACTTTTCAGCTTTTATGTCCCCCTCAGGGCCATTTAGCCGTTGTATGGTCTGCTCTAGGAAAATTCCCCACCAAGACGGACATGATCGTTGCCTGTTCTGCTTAGGTGAATCCCACCTCGCTAAGTCTTGCAGACATTGTAAAGCCTTCACTAAAGCCACTTTGAAAGCCAGGCAACAGTGTCTTAAGTATCACCTTTGGGAATCTACTCTAGCCTCCACCAAACCCTCTGACATGGAGATGGTCTCACCTTCAGCAACCCCTCGCTCTGAAGCGGCGGCTTCTCCTCAATCAGTTGTTTCCAAAGCTGGCAAAACAACGAAAAAGGCATCCTCTTCAAAGAAATCTTCTATGACGTCGAAGTCTGCTGCTGCTTCTACACTCAAACCTGCAAAACGAGCAAAGGGAAAGGCTCCTGTTAAACCTAAGGAATCTTCCACTCAGCTTCCACCAATATCTGAAGCTTTGCCATCGCACATATTGGAGGATTCGTCCAGAGACCATGAATCTTTGTCAGAGGCAGCCCCATCGCTTCCTCCTCGACAAATTGAGCCTTCTCTCCCGGCTGGCATCTCCTCTCTGATGCTGAGTCAGCTTGCTGGAGCGACTGCAGCTTGACTTCTGCCCCACATAGCCCAAATTCTCCTTGGCAGGGGTCTTCGGCTCTTTCAGTCTCGTCGGCACATTCGAGGTCGAGATCCCCTAGTAAAAAGCGCTCGTCTAAAAGAAAGCACTGTTCCTCCACTCGACGTCGATCTAAACATCGACGTCAAACTAGATCTATTGACTCTGATGATTCTGAGAGAGTTCGGGTACGTTGCCGCCATCGACGTTGACGGGACTACAACTCTTCAGATTTCTCTTTGATGTCTACCGATCGAGGTCGAAGATATAAGAAAGTAAAATACATCTATGTTTCTTCTTCTTCTGAGTCCCCTCGACCCCATCATCATCGTCGACGTCGACGGGTCAACATCAAAGGCTCTAAAGCCCCAGTACCACTCCCTGTAGAGCCTGTTCCTTCGATATCGATGGCTCCTATTTCTTCGCAACAGACCCAGTCTTCAGCACTCGACATCGAAAGACAATTGTGTAAAAGGAAAAGGGATGTCTTCTCTTCAGATCCGGATGAAGTTTCCTCTGTGGCATCCTCAGATTCTGAACCGGAACCACCATCTCAACCTTGCCAAGGCGACCTCTCTGAGGGTGAAGTTGTTGGTTCTGATACGGGAGATCCACATGCTTCATCTCCTTCAGAGGACTTCTCCTGATATTCTCAAATGCTTTCACGTCTAGCAAGGGCGTTAAAATTGGAAGTAGACCAACCTACACCTCCTGCTGAAGACCTTATCTTTGGGGACATCAACCAGGAGAGGTCTCCTCCTCCAAGCCTTACCTTTGTACCGGTCATAATGGACATTATTAAAGAATTCTGGGAACAACCTTCTGCTTCTCCCTCCATTTCTCGCCACACCGAGAATCTTTATCGTGTCCATGGTAATGACACAAAATTTCTTCTTAAACACCTTATACCAAACTCGCTCATTGCGGAAACCAGTTGCACTAAACCCACTGGAAAGTTCCACGTTACTCCCACAGATGAGGAAGACAAGAAGTTGGAAATTATTGGAAGGAAGATCTACTCCTTAATTTCCTTCCTATTATGACTCATAAACTATCAAACTGCTTTAGGTGCATACCAGAAGCAGCTCTGGTTGAAATTTCTACCTGCTCTCAAAATGACTCTGGAGGATGTAAGACAAGGCTTCCTGAATTCCTACGAGGAAGCCCAAACTGTGTCGAAACACCAAAGGTTTTCGACTAGGCATGCAGCAGAGGCCGCTGCCAGAGTTCTCATGTCTGCAATGACTTTACGCAGGCACGCGTTTTAACATCCTAGATGATGTCAAAACAAAAGTGGAAAACCTTCCCTTTGAAGCTACCGGGCTTTTTAATGAAATCATTTGGAGGAACTACATAAGGACAAAAAGACAGCAAAATACTACTCTATCCAGCCTTAACCAAGATATAACAAATATCACTGGAGAAAGTCTTATTCTCAGTACCAGCAATCTTCGCAGCAGTACAGACCGTTTAAGAACTTACCTCAACAAAGATAATCTCAAGCTTCTTCCTCTGCTTCCAGCTATTGTCCTCAGCAGTCACAGCGTAGGCAATCCTATAAGCCACCTGCCAAAAAATCAAAACAGATCTTTGACTCTGCCATAGACATAAACGGAAATCACATCACCACACGGCTACAACCATTTCTGGCAAACTTGACAAGTTTAAGTCAAACCTGAGGGAATTGTTGAATACAATTCTGTAAGTATTTATCAGGATCAGAGCTGTAGAAACATGTATAGTTAGAATTAATACAGCTGAGTTGATTGTGACAGCTGAGAGAAGAATCTGAGGATTGGACAATCCTGAGATAAAGCTAACAGAGCTAGCACACACACTCTGGTGGTGGTGTGGGATGGTTGATGTTGTGTCGGAGTGCTGTGTTGGAGAGATCCTGGGAGAAGCCTGTCTCCATGCTGCATATTTGGAGAAAAAAATTGGCTTCAGGACTGCTCATCTGGTAAATGAACTCTGAACTAATTTACAAGGACTTTGACTGTGATTTTGCGTATTGAATCCTGTTGAACTGCTGTGCATGACCTCGGACTGGAAAACCAAGACTAAAGCTGTATATATGTGTATAACCCCTCTAAATAATACAAGTAATTCTTCTATCAACACTACAAGTTGTTTGGTGTCTTCATCTCAGGGAAGTTTTTCTACTGCTAGCACCACCTGGTGTATCTTGGTAATAACGCACCTCTGTCAAAACTGGGCTACCATCACAAACGACTCGTGGGCATTAAAAATCATCCAATTTGGCTACTGACTAGAATTTATAGAATTTCCCCCTCTTAAGGTTCGTAAGTCACACATCTTTCGACCCCGCTCTAGAAGAGGAAGTTCTATCACTTCTGGAAAAGGATGCCATTCAACCTGTCCCAATCACAGATCTAAAGAATGGATTCTACTCCCGGTACTTCGCCGTGCTAAAGAAAGGTGGAGGTATAAGATCCATCCTTGACTTAAGAATCCTAAACCCTTACCTTCATCCACGACGCTTCCGGATGGTGACGTTGGAGTCCATCCTGCCCCTGTCAAAGAAAAACAATTGGTTTGTGGTGGTGGATCTGAAGGATGCATACTTCCATGTGACCATACATCCAGATCATCGCAAGTATCTTTGGTTCATCTTCCAAGGAACCATTTATCAATTCCTGGCTTTGCCTTTCGGACTTTCAACAGCTCCCAGGACGTTCACAAAAGTCATGGCACCCATGGCAGCTTACCTGTGCCTCAACGGCATCCACGTCTGCCCTCGCATAGACGATTGGCTAGTAGTCTCTCCATCCAAGACTCAGGCTCTGAAAGACACAAAATTCATTCTGCAGTTGCTTAGAAAACTAGGTCTCACCATCATGTTTCATGTTTCATCAACGTGAAAAAAGTCAAATCTCAAACCTTCCAAGGTAGTGCATTACATCAGAGCATGTTTAGATGCTACCATAGGGTGGATTTTTCTGCCCAAAGATCGGATTCAAAAAATTCACAGGGCTCTCAAGAAGTTTCAGCCAAGGGCCCGCGTGAGAGCGAAACATGTTCAACACCTGTTAGGCCTCATGGTCTCCACCACTCCAGCTTTGGCCCACGCACATCTCAAACTGCGGTCCCTGCAGTCATGGTTCCTGGCACTTTTCAATCCCATGAGAGACAGCCAGAGAAAACGCCTCTGTGTGACTCCAGAGCTTGTAAGGCAACTCTAATGGTGGAATTATCTCTTTCCAGCCTAAGAATTCAAATTCATCATGCCTATTTTCCCATCCTACAGTTTAAGCTTTTCTTAAACGGACTCACTAATATGAGACCTCCAGTTCGACCACCAGTTCCACAGTGGTCTCTTCAGTTGGTGTTGCATGCCCTTACTCGTCTTCCCTTTGAGCCAATGGCTACGTGTGACCTCAAGTTATTATCTCTTAAGTAGTTATTTCTTGTGGCCATCACTTCTGCCAGGCAGGCAAGTGAACTTGCTGCCTTTCGTTCTGCCCAACCTTTCCTACAGTTTTTCAAGGATAAGGTACTGTTCCACCTGGATGTCTCCTTTCTTCCAAAGGTTGTATCGGACTTTCACCTCAACCAGCCTTTACTGCGTCCCAGTCTGTTCTCTGAGCCTGCAAATGACCCTGAGCGCATGCTCCACACCCTTGATGTCAGGAGGGCTCTGGCCTTCTATGTTTCTAGAACCAAGGACTTTAGGTCATCCAATAGACTTTTCCTCTGCTACTTTGGGAAAAAGAAAGGTCTCCTAGCATTGTCTTCAGTGCTCTCCAGATGGCTTGTCTCCACAATTTCGCTTGCTAATGAGCTTCAGCATAAGTCTCCACCTGAAGGACTTCGGGCTCATTCCACCAGAGCCATAGCTTCTTCTACTGCCCTACTATGTGGTGTTGATGTGCCTGACATCTGCAGGACTGCCACTTGGTTTAATGTCTCCACCTTCATCACTCACTACGGACTAGACCTGAGGGCCAAGAAGGATACAAGGATCAGGAGAGTGGTGTTGACGTTTGTCCTCCAGTGACAGCCCACTGTCCGGTGAGTAAGCGTGCTAATCACCCTTTTGTGTGCATTCACAGAAGACCACGATGAAGACAGAGAGGTTACTTACCTATAACCATGGTTCTTCAAGTGGTCATCTGTGAATTCACACAATCCCGCCCTGCCTCCCCTCTATCTGTCACTGGCTGTATCTAGCTCATGCTCAGGTACCTGTGGCGGATAAATGGAACTGAGGCTTGGGCGGGCGGAGAATGCGCGGTATAGGCAGCCTTAAACTTTATTACTTTTCTCTTAAAGCTCAAAAATGTTCCGAGAGGACCAACGCTGGTGCTGGATTAACCCTTTTGTGTGAATTCACAGATGACCACTTGAAGAACCATGGTTATAGGTAAGTAACCTCTCTTTATTAAAGGTACTGACTGGGTTAGTTTTCCTTTACTGAACTTCTGCCACAAACTGACATTTCTTATACACGTTGGTGTTACTGGAATTTGTTATAAGTAGAACAATAATGGAATGATACAGATTTGAAAATAAAAAAGCCAGAATCTTGTTTGTTATGCTTGTGGTGATAGCTCCATGGAAATAAATTTGAGTGGTGAATTCATATAGGTAAAGAAGCCAGTCGTCATTGTAGACATTTGCTACTGCATATTAGTCTCATGATTTGATGTGAGATAGCAAATGCTCACACTGACTTCCAAACTTGTGACAGGAAAAACCAGGACAAGGCCAGATGATTGTGGAAACTACAAATGCAAGAGTAAGTGATACCTTTAATCGACCATTAAGAATATAAAACAAAACAAACAAATAGCGAGCTTTTGATGATAAATCATCTTCAAGTTCACCAAGTTCTTGTGGGCTATTCCAAACTTATGTATTATTTTTAATGTTCCAAACTCACATGGCTGATGGTGTAGAGCAGTGGTCCCCAGCCTCAGGCCTCCAGATGTTCTTGGACTTCAACTCCCAGAAATTCTGGCCAGCAGAGGTGGTGGTGAAGGCTTCTGGGAGTTGTAGTCCAAGAACATCTGGAGGCTCAAGGTTGGGGATCAGTGGGTAGAGGCCAGGCAAGCTTTTTGGATGGAAACAGCTGCAGCATGCATGTTGGTTTCAAGCTTTTCAGCTAGCAATTTGGAATTTATGGCCCATCTCTTAAAATAGAGGACAGTCACAGGAAATCAGCCCCCTCTCTTTCTGAAACTCAAAGGGTTTCTCTTTAACTGGGGGAGGGATGGCTGCCTATTTAACATGACCTGCTTCTAACAGAGTTGAGATTAGGAATTTAGTTGAACCACCAAGAATAGTCAATTTAAGCCAAATTAAAGCCAAATAAATAGTTTTACCTGGTGGATGCTCTCTTTAGCATGCAGTACTGCTTGTTCGATGTTGTGATAAACTTGTGACAGTTTGCTGCTGAAATTTACACTAACGGAGTTACACAAGTGTTATTTATGGAGTAAGATTCCAGCTAGAGTGTTTTAAATTGTTTTTTGTGGTTGTGTTTTTGTGATGATTGGTTAATGTGAATACTGACATTCTACCACAAAGTCTAAGTTGTGATGACTTAATATAGAACCTGCACCAAACTGTTGCAGCATAAAAACTTTATGTTCACAATTTTTTCCATTTCATTCTTCCTTCCATCACTCAGTATTCTAGATTTTGTCTGATAGTCAGTTATCATTATATGTTCACTCAGTATGTTTGGTCTTAATTTGACCGTTTTTGGCTTTCTTTCCCCACTATGATTTTTTCTCTCTAAAATGTTTATACTTACATTTCCAACAAGCCTGCTAATACAGTATCTTCCTTTTGTGTGTTCCTGTTGTTGTTTTGGTTGCATAGGCCTAGGAAGTCAGATAGTGAGTTCACTGTTAGTGTATATGGGGACCTAGGTTATTTGTAATTTAATAGCTTTATTCATTCATATAATATACAGTATATGCTAATAGAAATTGGAGGAAGCTTATCTGACAGACTGACTATTATTTTCAGGGCATTTGATACTTTGGCTAAAGCACTTAACACCACAGAGGGTGCAGCAGCTCAAAATGTAGCAGATGGGATGGATCCTACAGTTGGAGGAAATATACATGTAATCAGTAGGGATCAGTCTACACCAATCATTGAAGTTGAAGGACCCCTTCTTACAGATACTCATGTGACATTTAAGGTATGTGCTTTCTTAAATGTTATGCAGTCCTTCATTGAAAAAAATAGTGAACAATGTGGTTGTTGTGGGTTGTCTGGGCTGTTTGGCCGTGTTCTTAAGGTTTTTCTGCCTAATGTTTCGCCAGTCTCTGTGGCCGGCATCTTCAGAGGACGGAAGTCAGAAGTCTGTGCTCTGTTGCAGTATTTATACCTGTGGGATCAGCGTTTGTCCTTTCCAGGAGATTGGGTGATTATGGTGATCAATGTGTTTTTGTTGTGGGTGTATTCCCCCATGGAGTACATTCTCCGCCCTCCAAAGGGCGCCCTCAAAAGGGCTCAGATCCTTTTTGCTGCCGCATCGGTTGGACCTATTTCGGAACACTAGAGTAATTATTGAGATCTTTTACTGCCTATTTACTGATTCTTCCGATCATTTCTTCCATTTTCTATTTTAATCATATCTTTGTTGGACGTTCCCCTGTAAGTTACTCCTTTTCAATTTACCTCAGTCCTTTTTCTCTTTATCAGCATTTTTTCTCCCTTCCCTCCAACCCCCTTTGCCACTTGCATGCTTTGCACAAACAAGATACCACTTACCGACTGTCATAACCGTTGCCAAACACACTCCTGCTCCAAGTGTAAAAGCTTACAAGACCCGCTCTAAAACTACATCTACAAAGACTTCGCTCATGCCTTTGGGAAAAGTCTCTCAATCTAGCCCCCATGGACCCAACAACATCTTCAACTCTGCCTTCAGTGCATCGAGAAAACACTCACCCAATATCAAGCCTGACGACTCCATCACATTGTCAAAAAGACCTTTCAAAGTCCGCTTCAAATTCGAGCTCGATGTCCACGTTGAAAGCTCCAATTCGTCCTTCTAGGAAAAAGAAGGATAAGACCAATCCTAAGAAAACTAAGAAACCTATGAAATTGACTCAAATAGATCCACCTCAGGTGGGCCCTCCTCCTCCTTGAGGAGTCTAGAGATGCCCCTGGCTCAATTTCGGATAGAGACGACCCAACTTTAACACCAGCTCAGGCTGCAGCTTTCTTCACCAGCCTTTCGCCAAGTACTGGCCTATCTCCAGCTGATGTTCATTCCAGCCTGGCCTCAGCCCATTCAAGCTAGATCATCAGGGCAGGCAATACCTATTCAAGTCTCTGGTTCAGAATCATCTCACTAGTCTCCCCGCAAGTGCTGGGCGAAGAAACGACTCTTTTCTCCAGTCCAATATGTCTCTCCACACAGGGAAATTTACTATTATCATGAACCCTCTCAATACCCAACTCGAAATGACTATGGGGATCAGTACCACCACTACGACCTCTACTATCATGAAGACCAGGTTGAGCATGTCTATTATGATGAACCAAGAAGGTTGAGATATGCCTCTCCACCTCGATACTTGCCTTCCATGTCACCTTCACCGCCACGACACCAACATCATTCGTCCATGATGTATCCAACATCACTCACCATACATCGATCCTACGAAATCAGCTCTCAAATGCACTCTTCCAGTATCGATTATACCAAAGCAAATGGAAAGCATTCCTTTCTTTTGCCAATTTTCAGAACTTACCTACAACACCGGTTTCCCTGAATACTTTACTTACCTTTATCCTTCATCTCTTTAATCTCGGACTATCTCACTCTACCCACACAGTGTATATTTCTGCTATTATATCCCACCAGCCTTCTCAGTCTGATTTGGCTATGTTTTTTTTCTCACCCAACGTTGAAGAAATTCTTGAAGGGACTCCATAATATTTGTCCACCATGTCAACATCCGCTCCCTCAATGGTCTTTGCAGCTTGTCCTCAATGCACTTATCCAACCACCTTTCAAACCAATGGCTACTACTAATTTCAAATTACTTTCCTTGAAAACATCTTTCCTTGTGGCAATAACATCTGCTAAACATGCTAGCGAGCTTGCATCCCTCAGATCAAACCCACCTTTACTTCAGTTCCACGCTGATAAGGTGACCCTCTATTGTGATGTATCATTTTTACCCAATATTGTCTCTGAATTCCATCTCAATCTACCATTGATTCTACCAACTCTATTTCAGTCTCCTTCTACACCTCTCGAGCCCATGCTCCACATGCTTGACATAAGACGCTCTTTGGCCTTCTACATCGATAGAACTAAATCATTCAGAAAGTCTCCAAGGCTCTTCTTAAGCTTTCATTGCCCTCATAAGGGTGCCCCTGCTTCACCTCAAACTATCTGTCACTGGATTGTCTAAACTATCTCATTGGCATATCAGCTCACAGGCAAAACACCTGCTGAACATTTAACAGCTCCTTCCGCCAGAGCGCTGTCAACTTCTACTGCCTTCCAGCGTGGAATAGAACTTCCTCACATCGGCCATTCAGCTACATGGTCTAACCCATTAACCTTTGTGAGACACTACCATCTTGATATCTGGGCGAAGAATGATGCTGTTTTTGGCAGAGAGATCTTGACATCCTTTCTACCATGACGTCCCACTATCCGGTAAGTGAGCGTGTCAGTCACCCAATTGTGTGCATTCACAGAGGCCACGAAGAAGAAAGAGAGGTTACCTACCTGTAACCATGGTTCTTTTAGTGATCCTCTGTGAATCCACACATCCCGCCCATCTTCCCCTCTGTCCATCACGTTGTCCTTGATATAGGCCTTGGACAGCAGCAGACTCTTACAGGAACTGAGGGGGCCTTTGGAGGGCGAAGTATGCGCCCCACGGGGGAATGTCCTACTAATCACATGTCTTTAAGCTCTAGAAACATCTGAGACGTCCTGTGCAGGCACAGAACAACCTAATTGTGTGGATTCACAGAGGACCACTAAAAAAAACCATGGTTGCATCCATCTTTTATGGATGGCTGTTTTTCTTCTTCAGTTTGGTGTTGTATTCTTGGTTTGATGGCTCTTTTGATTTCATTATGAAATCAAAATCATTATGAAATCATTAATGAAATCAAAAGAGACATCAAACCAAGAAAACAACACCAAACTGAAGAGGAAAAACAGCCACCCACAAGTAAAGTATTTCTGCCATACATCAAAGAGATCACAGACCGCATAGGGAAACTTTTTGAAAAAACACAACCTACAAACAGTATTCATGCCCCTCACTAAAATACAACAAATGTTGCAGTCAGCAAAGAACAAAAGGGACCCCCTCACCACTGCAGGAGTATACAGGATACCTTGCAATTATGACCAGGTATATATTGAAATCACAAAATGCAGCATTCACACCAGAATCAGAGAACATGAGAGACATTGCAGACTAAAACAACTGGAAACATCACCAGTAACTGAACATGCCCAAAAACAAGCTGGACATGAAATTCTATTTCAAAATACTGAAGTACTGGACAACACCAGCAATCATTATGTTATACTGCACAGGGAAGCCATTTAAATCGACAAACACCAACAGAGCTTCAACAAAAAAGAAAGTTTAAAACTCAGCAAAGCCTGGCTCACAGCACTGAAAAATACATCCTGCAAAAGGTCAACAAACTCTACCCAGCCACCCAGACTGATGATCACTGCACAGAAAAGACCAGCTAATGACACCCATCGATCACAGTGACAGATCATCTCCCCCTTATCACAACAATACACCCACAACAAAAACATGCTGATCACCATAATCACCCAGTCTCCTGAAAAGGACAAAAGCTGATCCCACAGCTATAAATACTCAACTGTCCTACAAACTGTAACAGAGCACAGACAGAGTTCTGATTCCTGTCCTCGAGAATACAGTGAACAGTATCTTTGTTTCCCATGCAGTCTGTTTCTTTGAGAATTTGCTGTGGGAAATCTTGTTGATACAGTGGTGCCTCTTTTAACGACGATAATTCATTCCAGGAAAATCGCCGTTAAGCGAAAACATCGTAAAGTGAAAATAAAAACCCCATTGAAATGCATTGAAACCTGTTCCAGTGGGGTAAAAACTCACTGTCCAGCGAAGATCCTCCATACGGCGGCCATTTTTGCTGCCTGTATAGCGCGGAATCCGTCCCTAAACACAGCGGGGAGCCATTTTAATCACCCGGTGGCCATTTTGAAACTGCCAATCAGCTGTTCAAAAAACGTCATTTTGCAAAGAGTCGGTTCCCGAAGCAGGGAACCGATCATTCCAAAGTAAAATTCCCCTATTCAGACCATCGTTTGGCGATCGTAATTGCGATCGCAAAAAAGATCGTCATTAAGCGGTTTTGTCGTAATGCGGGGCAATCGTAAAACGAGGCACCACTGTATAGTTACCCCAGTATAGCCTAGATTTGAATTCTGGAAAGGATTAATTTATATTAATTGAAAGTTCCTATCGCCCATTTTAGGTTTCAAGACTACCTAGGACTCTGTTTTGTCCTGGGGAAGTCTTTAGGAGCCTTGGGACAGGGAGCAGCCTTTAATAATTAAAACATGCTGCTAGATTGCCAGTGATTGTTCTGATCCAAGTAGTGGCGATCCAGTGGTGATTTTTGACTGTTAAATGGTCTCCATTCCCAGTAGACCAAAGGCTTCCCCAGGGTAAAAGGGAGGCTTGAAACTTGAAGTGGGGGTATAGGAAGCTTTCAGTTAATTAAGTCACAAAGTTTGAGAGTTAGACACGTTAGTTTATAAAAGGATGGCTGTTTATGATATGCCACCCAACTGTAAAATATAAAATTATCCACAATGTATACAGTGTTAATCATATTTAGTGTGTTAATCGTTATACTCTGAAGTTCCTATACCGTTTTGCAGCTTTGAAGTGTGATCTATAACTGTAAAGAAGCACGGAACTATAATATTAAACTCAGATAGTTCTGTGCTGGTACACAATGTCCAACTTTATTTCATTCAGGACTATGAGAAGTCTTTTTTTCAAAGCCACTGTTTGAAGAAAGCTGAATTAAAATAATATATTTTTCTGGGTGCTGACTGTAACTGAAGTTGGCCACCATAGTAACATATCTCTACTTTTTTTCTCTCACTGTGTGAATTAGTTCTTTGTTAAGACCAAGCTAGTCTTTGATAATACCCAAGAATCCTGAGCACTAAGCAGAGTGCATTCACTCTAAATCTTCCCATCAGTGACATATTGCAGTATATTATATTTGTCATGATGAATTATGTGTCCAGGATATGGGAGCTTGATTTTCTTAATAATCAATATTTATCAGTCCATGGGATACAAAGGATTCTTCTGTACGTCCACATTTCAAAAGTGTTTGCTCTATTCACTGTCTTCTTAATAGGCCAAACCTCACTTCATAATGGAGTGTTAACTATGTATGTCACTTTAATAGCCTTATTTCCAAAGATACATTAAGCTGTTTTTTACATGTTAACTACAAGTGTACAAATCAGCCACAAATCAAGTGTAAAGATGTGTGGGATGTTTCCAATTTTTATGACAAAAATTCTTTAATAACCATTATAACTTGCATAGTGCAGCCCTGTCCCTACAGTGTACAGACTTGGGTGGTGCTTTCAAGGGTCTGCTCTGTTTAAGGCAGGTAGACTGGCCCTGTCTGCTCTGTGCCAGTTTGTTAAACAGTTTCCACAGTACTTACATGTTGTTCTCTTGCAGTTAACCATGCCAAGTCCAATGCCAGAGTATCTGAATGTTCATTACATTTGTGAGTCAGCATCCCGGTTGCTTTTCCTTTCCATGCACTGGGCTAGATCTATTCCAGCTTTTCAAGCACTAGGGTAAGAAGATGTCCTTCTCAAGGAACTGATGGAAGTCTCTCAGTTGGGACTGGTGTTAAAATTATGTCTTTATTGAGTTTAATTTATGGAAAAATCCACATTTTAAAATTGTAAAAATATGAAAACCAAGATATACAGTACTTGCTGTTATTTGATTTCTCTTTCACTTTATATATTTAGAATGCTTGTGTACCTCAAAGTGTGTTTGTGTAATACAATCACATTCTAAAATAACATGTCAGAAACAGGTAACATTTTGCTCGTATGATAGCAGGATTCTTTAGCCAGTATTTCCTGCTCTCACACTTGGTCTTCATTGGTTTTACTTTTTTGTCATCACCTTTGAAGAGAAACCTCATTGAAAACCTCTGGAGGAAGTGACTAGGGCTAAGTAGCTGGAAGTCAGTCAGCTCAAGATGGAGATAAGTTTTTCTTGGCAATAGTTCTGCTTAGGTCCTTTAATTCAACTTAGAACTACAGTCATGTTTTAAGGACCATTTTTTGTTTTGGGGGTGAGGTGGGTTAAGTGTCCCTGGGTTCTGATACATTTAAAAAGTTTGTGTACATCTCTTTCGTTTGTTTGTTTGTTGACTTCCTGAGTACAGTGGTGCCCCGCTTGACGACGATATGTGTTCCAGCAAAATCGCTGTTAAGCGAAATCGTCGTCAAGCGAAAAAATCCCCATTGAAATGCATTGAAAACTGGTCAGTGCGTGCCAATGGGGGAAATACCTCATCGTCCAGCGAATATTGCCCATAGAGAACCGCAGATCAGCTGTTAAAAAACACTGTAATGTGAAGCTTCCGTCTGGAAAGCAGCCATTTTGAGAAGGGAGGGAAGCCATTTTGCGGAACTGGAAAACAGCCATTTTGAGGAGGGAAGCCATTTTGCGGAGCCGGAAAAAACAGGCTCCTAATCAACGTAAAGCGGATTTCCCCCATTGGAACCATTGTTTTGCGATTGCAATAGCGATCGCGAAAATGTCATCGTCAAGCGATTTCGATGTCATGCGAGGTAAGTGTCTAGCAGGGCACCACTGTATATGTGCATGCAGACATGTACATTTTATCAGGTATTAACTTCATACCATACTGTTAATTCCAACTTGTATGGTAAAGTGTTGTGTTTTGTCTTGATGGGGAATTTCTAAATTATTCTGAGGTGCCTTTTAAGTTGTATGTGTTTCAGTATGGTATAGACTGCTGGAACTTAGTAGAATTATCAGGATTCTACCATTTTGATAACTGAGACATTACAACCACATTTGTTAGCAACATAAACTAAGGATTTTCCTGCAGGTGTTTTTAGTGTCTGAAGAGACAAGGCTGGAGATGTCATGCTAAGTCTGCAGAGCTATAAAGAAACCATCTCAACTCACCCTTGCTTATTGGACAAAGTTAACACAACTCTTTCATGCATCTCTTTTGCCCCCACCGTGTTGCTCCTTGGTTTTTTTCCACATTTTCTGCTGAGTTCCGACTTAATGTTGTTCCTTCTGGTCTTATGCTCCCATACAGTTTACAGCCCTGCAGACTCTTCATTCTCCTTTACCTATAGAACATCAGACTCTTTTATATCCCTTGTCAGTTCTTACAAGATGTTAATTTCCTTCTCAATTTCTTCCCATTCTCAGTGAATAATTAGCTTTTTTTCATATCCTAATTTATTCCAGCCCACTTTCTTCTTTTCCCCTTCATATTCAAGCCTGTCACCCATAATTCCTTCGCTAATTCTAATTTGGTTGCCATTGTGTATGTATCAATATTTTCTGGTACAGAATCATTCTTTTTGGTATTACATAGGCCTCATTCATTATTTTCGAAGAACATAACTTTATTCATATCTTGATTAAATAGTACAAAAAGTAGCACCTTCTCATAAATCGAAGTTTGCTGTTTTCTTTCTACATAACAAGCTCTATCTCATTTTGATTTGAAAGCTTTAGTTCTGATTTCTGTTACTTATGGGCTGAAATCCTGTTCATGCAGCTATACTAGGTAAGACTGATGACATTATCAACCTTACATGGCATAGCTGTGAATAAGATTCCACCACTGTGTTTTTGTTTTTTATAGGAATTGCTTGGAAACCCTTATTAGGATTAAAAAGTGGGATAAAACATTTTTATAAATAAGACAAAATTACTTTTTTGTTGTGTTTGAATATTTCTATGGTATCTGGAAATACCAATCATTGGTACTGATAATTAACATAAAGAATGACATGTCTGTCTAAAGACAGAGGTAATCATAGAACATCCTGTGCTCTGCAGTGCAATATTCAACAATCTTCTTTTTGCAATATCTGTGAAGTAATTATTTGCAAAATAAATTGGATCTACAGTATTTACCTTTTTAGAGCTACAGCCCCACGGTCTGTTATTGCAGCACATTGGCTATGTAAATCCATATGCTTAAGATGCACTTAATATATCTTTTCATGTTCATTTTCATATAGTACCACTGACTGACTTTTTGAAATTACTTTGGGACGGGAATAAATGGCAGCCAATGAGATTGTGGGACAACCAGTCAAGAAGGTAGCTTGAGGTACAGCTGATCTCAGTTATCTTCTATACCTCATAAATTGATGTTCATGTATAAATACAAGTTCACATATGTGTTACAGCAGATCAGAGCATTGAATCATTAAAATACAAAAATACCCTAATTCAATGTTATGAGGACCAAGCAGAACCAGAAACTATTCTGAGATCTTACTCCTAACCAGAGATTATAGCAGTTAGTTCTGTTTGTTCTATAGTGAGAAAAAATAACTCTACAGTAGAGTGTTCTTTCTCCTCTTTTTTTGCTTTCAGTATTGACATTTATGAACAATTTTGGAATAGGTAAAAATGTCACGCCTCCAAACCTGCACTAATTCAGTGGTTCCCAACCTTGGGTAACCCTGGTACTCTTCGACTGCAAATTCCAGAAGTCTTCATCACCAGTCCAGGGTTTTTGGGAATTGCATTAAGAACACCTGGGTTGCCTGCAGTTGGGAACCACTACATTAATTCATTTTTTTCCCAGTACAACAGTGTTGCCAGATAGTCATTGCATTAAATACCATTTGGAAAATGATTTACATACACTGGAATTTTAGGGTTCAGCAGTTCCAAAAATACAGAAAATATGATTTGTAAAATAGGTTTTTTCTTTTTATAATATTTATAACTATTTCCTTTTAAAACTTTTAGGCAGGACTGTAATACAAGTCTTGTGCGTGCCTGCTGGAATGAACTGTTTACTTTAGGCCTTGCCCAGTGTGCACAGGTGATGAGTTTGTCAACTATTTTGGCAGCTATTGTCAACCATCTCCAAAACAGCATACAGGAAGGTTAGTGTGATTTAATTTTTTTAACACTTGAGGCAAAATATGCTAACTGAATTGTGATGTCAGTAGAATTTACTACAATTTTGTGTGTATAGATAGGATCAGGGTGTTAAAAGGGTTGTAAGGCTGCAGTAAAGCTTTTGCTGAGTATTTTCTAGGAATGTTAGCCCTGTTCATGCATTATTCACATGTAGGATGTTCCTATGTTGAAACAGAAGCAGAGATGCAATTTTATCCCACTCCTGATGTCCAGCTCCTTTATTAACATCCACATTTGAGAGTAAGTGTCCTTCTTCCCAAACATGCAACTACAGGTGTACCTCGGTTTAAAAATTTAGTATGTTCTACTAGATGTTACGTAATGCAAAAAAATTCATGAACTGAAACGCGAATTGCCATAGGTACAGCGGCAGTGCTACAAATGTCCAGGCACAATGCATCCTGGTAAAACTTTCTTCGTACTCTGAAAAAACCCGGAAACCCCCCGGAAACTGAGGCATTATTTTCAGTGGATTTTGCTTTGTATTACGTTAACCGAGGCATTCGTAAACCAAGGTACCACTGAAGTTGCTTGCATGATGGGGCTGCACATGACCAGGAATGACACAGTGATCCAGAGCACCTATGTGTCAGCTGATGTTCATCAGTCATGTTGGTGACAGAGGAAGTAGATGGATGTAGAAAGAACAAATGAACAAATGATCCTTGTTTTTCAGTATAAGAAAGCCCTACATGTGAGTTTTGTCTGTATTAAATTATTGTTTCATCAGAAACAAGGTATGGAGGAAAATTATTTACATGTGATTCCTTCTTAGGTTAGTAGTTGAAGGGCCTTTGCTGTCATTGTGCCAGTATTTCTCTGGTTTGGAAAGCCTCTGTATATTTGAGACAAACTGAAAGATAGATTTGTAGTGTGCTGTCTTCATCCCCTTGTCTTTGTAAGGAATTTAAAAGTGCAATTGCTGTATATGTGGTTCCTTATTGGTGGAATTTTAAGGTGTGTGTGTGTACGTAGAAGTGTATATTTAGCTGCTGCCTCATGATTTGAGTGGAAACTGTCCACTCAGCAGGTCAGGAAATTAGATAAAAGTCCAATATTTATTTGCTTGCATATATTCTAACTTCTTGGTTTAAAGTACCCTTAAAGCAGTTGCTGACTTTCATAGTACTGGTATGAGAAATCTAGACTGAAAACACATGAAATGATCCTTCAGGACAATAGATTCTTCTGACTTTCCAGTGTTTGTTTATTTTTAGAACTCCAGTAAGGAGATTTAAATATAGCAGAGAACGCTAAAAAGGCCATAGAATGTTGCTTTTCATAAGCAGAAAAGGCCGCTCATTGATTTCTTTCAGGTTTCCAGTCTGCTGTAGCTTTAACCCCTGCCTTATTATATGCTGTCGTCCCCCCACCACCACCACAGAAGTGACTTTTCAGATGTGTAGGAGGCTGTAATGACAGGTGGGAGGAACCATAAAATCCACATTGCAGGAGTCCCACTTATGTATCTCTTGAGCCAATCCACCATGTGGAACAGTGGTTGTAGCCTGTTAAATACACATGGAAAAGCTGATGGCAATAAACATTTGTTGCTTTGAAAGCCAGTGAACAACAAACTGCACTTGAAAAATATGGACGTCATGCAGGACTTCTTCAGATTGTAGAAGTTCTGGGCTGTAGCAAAGTTATACAGTCTGGAACTGCATATCTTTCTCTTCTTGACTGTGTTCATCTCTGGTTGTAGCAGAATTTAATCCAAATAACATTAACTTGTAACCACCTGACAATAGAAATATTATATATAGGGAAACTGTTGGCTAGAATAATTCCATGTTATTAAGTGACAGACATAACGTAAGTATTTGGTGGGTTTGGTTTGGGGTATTTTCTCAAGTTTATTGTGCATCTAGAAAAGTATAAAGTGAGCAGTTATCATCATTTACTGATTTAATTTGTAAATCCTTTCAAACTTAATTATAATAGGCAGGTTCCGCCCCCCCAGGCAAGGCCCTCAAAAACAACAGAACTGATGTAGTTCCTCTGGGCAAGGAAAGAGGCAGGATATTCAGAGGCCATGGAGAGGTAGGTGCCCTACGTTTGACTAAGTGTAGGGCTGTAAGATTTTCCTGCATCCCATGCTGGTGGGGGTATAAAACAATGGAAATAATAGAGTAAGATTTACTGGCCTCACAGTGAAGGATCACAGTAGATAGGCTGTTGCAACTATGAAGCTGTAGTAAAAGGTGCTTTGTGTTAAATTGGTTCTTTGTGGTGAGGGGTAAAGTAGAATATAATGTGTTGTTTCTTGAGCTGTTTTGGGTCTGGATGGGGACTGTAGATCAGATTTTTTAAATGATGGTACAAGAAAAAATGAGGTGTCTGTTATGTCCAGACAACTTTGCTAGACCACATGCAGTCTGGTCTTAAGTGAGGTCTGCTATAGCACCAGGTGGCGGTTTTGGATAGCCTCTTCTGAGCCATATTCATTATTCCCAGGTCAAATATATCTGAAAAGGAACAGTTCTTGTCTCTCTCCTGCAATGGATAACTTCCCCACATAGGATCTTAACTAGCTGCTTAAATCCTCCACCTGAAATTCTGTTTGAAGATCATTCTATTGAAGAATTCCATTCTATGAAGGAATTAACCTCATGGTGGTCATATCCTAGATAGTACTGAAAGCCTGGCTGTGTCTGTTGAGGAGAAGCTATTTCTTTGATCTTGGTTTGTGAAATAAACCAAACATTTATCCCTAGAGCAGGGGTCTCAAACATGCGGCCCGGGGGCCATTTGCGGCCCACCAGATGATAGTTTGTGGCCCCCACCCTGCCTGTCCCCCCGAAGTGCCCACGCGTCCTCTGCTGTCAAGAGTCAGAAAAAGCTTTACCTCGCTCGCCAACTCTCTCCCAAGACAGCGCCTCTTGCACCCTCCATCCGGAACTGCAGCCTGCCAGCCAGCCAGCCTGTCTGCCGGCTAAGGAAACTCCTGGGCGGCTTCCTCGGGCTCTTGCTCCGCTGTCTTGGGGGAGAGCCAGCGAGTGAGGCACGCTGCCAGCCCTTTTCCCCAAGCACCCGAGCCGCCGCTGAGTGTTGCCTGAGAGTGGCGCTCGCTCCCAGTCTGTCCTCAAAGAGCGCCTCCAACAGCACCACCAACAGCAGCTGCCGCCACCACCACTTCTTCCAGGGAAACTCTCTGGCTCTCTTTCTCTCTTGGCACCCAAAGCACTAGCCCGGCCAGCGGCTGCCTCAACACCTAGTGGTGCTTCCTCCTCCTCTTTGTCCTGCTTCAGCCGCCTCAGCTCTAGAGGCTGCCTGGGCTCACCTTGCAAACTTTGCTCCTCTGTCATGGTGGGGGTAGCTGCTGCTGCTGAGTGCGCCTTTTTTTGAGGGGGCCCCTCAGAGTAAGGTTGCCGGAACTCTCTCTCTCTCTCTCTCTCTGTCTGTCTCTGTGTGTGTGTGTGTGTGTGTGTGTGTGGCCCCCGTCCCATTCTGTTTAATTTCGCGGGTACCGGTGGGGGCTTTTCTCCTTTGGCAAGGCAAATTCTGTGAGGGTCTTTTTTGCTTTGAGGGTTTTTTAAAAATTATGTCGTCCCCCTCCCGCTATGCGGTCACCGGCGCTCCCTCCCTTCTCGCTTCTTTGTCCTGCTGCTGTTGGTGGTAGTAGTGAAGAAGGAGCTGGAGGGGGTCGTGGCCGGTGACGAGGGCTCTCGTGTCCCCTCCTCCTCTTCCTCCTCGGAGCCCCAGCTGGGCTAAGGAAACTCCTGGGCTGTTTCCTCGGGCTCGATGCGGCTCAGCCTCACCCAGACTCTGCCTCCAGCGGCCCCCAGATAAATTGAGTTTGAGACCCCTGCCCTAGAGTAAACACTGTGTTGCAGTATTTTCAGGATACAGTGCCATCAAATTTTTTGTCAGGACCCCATCTTGGGTCAGAGGAGATGCAACACAAATTAGATGTACAAATATAAACCAACACTGGATCTACACAAGATACCAGGCCATTTTACTAACTGCACATATCTTACAAACAAAATTGTCCTGTATCCATATGCGTCACCAGATGCTGAGTGATAAGAATATGTTGCCCTGCTATATTATCCCAGTTTCACCAGATTACAGTTCATTTCATGAGGGGCGTAGCAGCATCTGCCACATTAGCCCCATTGTTTCTCCAGAGCAGCCATTCTCACTTTTTTTTTGCCAAGGCCATGAACACACTATGAAAAAAAAAACAAGTTCAATTGGGATTATGTGAATCACATGACAAACCTTATTAGATGGTATGTGAAGAATTGTTCACTGTCTGTGGCCTGTGTTCAAACGTGTCAGTGCCCCCATGGGTTATATAGTCCCATTGAGAATGGCTGCTCCTGAAGACACCTATCAGGCAGTAATTTCTCCTGATACTTCCATATGCATTCATCAGTTAAGAATGCCTTAGCTGACACTGGGTATTACCATAAGTATTGAGAGCCACCTTTCCTGCCTACAGGACTTGGACATTTCTTTTCCTTTGACTTCACTCTTCCGTTGACAAAGCAAAATTGTACTTTATGTGATCTATCTTTCTGGTCAGCAGAGAGTGAACAGTCTCATTACTGCTTGGTTATCTCTTAACAGATCAGGGACTGCTCTGCGAATTGGCCGGCACACTTTTATGCCCCCCCCCGGCCACCTCTATCCCACCCATATTTGAAAATCCTTTCTGTAGTTTTAATATTTCAGGGAAATTTCTTGTTTTGAGCTACAACTTTAATACTATCAATGAAGTCAAGCTCTGGAACCTCTTTCATGGCAGAAGAGGAATTTTTCTGCCGGCCATGCCTTTTTGAGCAAAATCAGTTAACTCTTTCTTGTTAATAGTTCATAGTAAATCCAGCTTTTTAAGTTTGAATTATGCTGTTTTCCCCACTACAGAGTTTGGCATAGAACCAGTTCTACATTTCCCCAACAAAAACCCCACACCTGGCCTTTCTCTGTGCAATACTCCATTGTTTTTCTCATTGTTGGTATTGTTAACAAAATTACAGAAGGTGGACTGCTATTCTTAGTGAAACAAAGAAGAGATATAGAACGTATTATTAAAACTATAGAACAACAAAAGAAGTGAGGACAAGCTATTGAGTCTAGTCTTTAAAGCTGTACATTTCTAAATATCAGTCATCTTTTAGTTTTAATAGAAAGTGTCAGTCATCTTTTAAACATCTTGAGAGTTCCTCCCCCCCCACCCAGGTTTCTTGGTTTTATGTCTCCTGTGAACATTTGGTCATATCCCAAATCTCATGTAACTTCCTATTTCTGCAGGTTTCTGCTCTACAGATTAAATTTTACTGAGTAATTAGGAGTATAGAAAAGGGTCTGAATATATGTACACCAATTTTTTTAAAAAAAAATTGCTTGTGAGACAACATGAATTTGAACAGTTTGAAATGGATAAGAACGTGAGGAAGACAAGATATTTGGTTGACTTTCAAGTAAAATTCTGCTTTCCTAAGAAATATGTAATGTCTACTTGTAGATAAACTTTCCGGAGACCGAATAAAACAAGTGATGGAACACATTTGGAAGCTTCAGGAGTTCTGTAACAGCATGGCTAAACTTGATATTGATGGATATGAATATGCTTACCTTAAAGCTATAGTCCTTTTTAGTCCTGGTAAGGTATTTTGTAATTATTTTGGTAGTGTTTTCTTGTCTTAAATGGTATTTAGATGCTGAATGTAGAACAGGTTGATATTGTAATTCCAACTGGGATGTCAGTGGGGAAGAAACAGTCATATGAATGAGCTATAAGAAGGAATTTTTGATTTGATTTCTTTATTGTGTTGGCTTTTGGCTCTTGATTGCAGTGAAATCAACAAGTGTCTTTTTTAAGATCAAAATTTAAATAACCAAATTCTCAATTCTCTTTCCTGTTTTTTATCTCTCCACATCTGTAATAACTGATGTCATGGCAGCATGATATCAAGTAATACACACAACAAACTAAGAATTTTCCTAGTGCAAATCATATAAAGCTTGAGGAGTGTAACGAGTCTGTCAGGCTTTTTTCCATGGCTTGCAGAATACTACTGAACTACCTGCCCCTCCCCCGGGAGGTTCTTTATAGCCATGATCCAGTCTGCAGGCTCTTAAATTCATTATTGCTGTGCTGGTGGAATTACCCCAATCATAGGTTTATAATCTTTTGCTCTTCACTGTTGATTTTCAGTACATCCTACATAAAGAGCACCTGAAGTGCTGCCCTTGTGCAACTCCATCCTCAAGAATCCCCTCTCATGTTTATACTTCAGATTAGCAGCATTCCTTTGAATATTGATATCATTTTCTGGTTTTATTATAATTAGTGTACTTGCTCCTATTTTTACAATATACAGTATCAATTTACCCTGGTTTTATTACTATGTTTTCATTTCAATTTTGCATGTTTTCTTAAGTATCCAATGAACATGGAGTGTCATTCATTAATATGTCCAAAAAAGCAAATGCCATACAGTGGTGCCCCGCTTTACGACAATAATGCATTCCGTTAAAATCGCTGTTAAGTGCAATTGTTGTCAAGAGAAAGTAAAAACCCCATCGAAATGCATTGAAAACCGGTCAATGCGTTCCAGTGGGGGAAATACCTGTTCGTCCAACGAAGATCCTCCATAGGGGAAGCCATTTTGCATCGCTGTCTTCCAGAAATAGGTCCGGAAAACAGCGGGGAGCCATTTTGAAAACCTGCCGATCAGCTGTTTTTAATCATCGTGAAGCGAAAAATTGGTTCCCGAAGCAGGGAACTGATTGTCGTAAAATGAAAAAAAACCATTGGAATCATCATTTTGCGATCGCTATAGCAATCGCAAAAAACTCATTGTCAAGTGATTTCATTGTCTAACGGGGTAATCGTCAAGTGGGGCACCACTGTGTATCAGAGAAGCATAAAAGAAATATGCTGAAAAGAGAAAAATAAGTCAGCATTTAAAAAAATTATTGGAAAATATCTTTTCTTCAAAAAGTCATATTTTCAACATTTGTCTTATTATCAATGAAAACTGTACAGCAATTATACAATCACTAATTCTAGAAAAGCTGAGTGAAATGAAATACGTTATTCACCTGCACCTGTTTGGTGGAGAAAACTGACCAGTGATCTGACAAGGATGCTCAAAATGCATTTTTCTATCTTCTATCCTGAATTTTGGGTTTAAGGGGGAGGAGAGGAAAACGACAGACAAAGAAAATACCTACTGGTTGTTGTAAGTTTTTCGGGCTGTTTAGCCGTGTTCTGGAGGTTTCTTTTCCTAACGTTTTGTCAATCTCTGTGACCGGCATGTTCAGAGGACAGGAGCTAGAACTCTGTCTGTGTTCTGAACCTACAACAACCATTGGATCCTGGCCGTGAAAACCTTCAAGAATACAAATTATCTACTATTTCTACGCTCTTCCCTCTAAACATACAAAACAAATCCTCTTGTGAGCTTGGTGCTTAACTAGAGTTAAGGGAAATTTTGCAGACAGTGGACTACCTTTGCCTTCCAAGTATTATTCTCCATGCAAGTTAAAGAAAGCGTCCCACCATATTTCTGGATGGGCAAAAAAGCAATTGTTGAGAATCACAGTTCATAGATATCTGTTCAGCAAAGTACATCCTTCTACAATGCAATTGGTGTATTCAGCTCTGAAAGATGTCCAGAGATAGAATAGTTTGTACCTCATTTAACTTCAGAATGTTATGTGCCATCAAGTTGCCACTGATTTCAGTGTAAATACATATTAAAGCTGAAGAGACAGTTTCTGACCTACTTTGTTCTATGATCTTGTACAGCTACCTTGACAAACATCAGCATTTTATGTTTTAAATTACAGTACACAGATTCTGCTTCCAAACATCTAAATGTTGGTCTGTGGTTCCATGAGGGAAGTAGGCTTCAGAAGAAGAGCTTTAAATGTGTTCTATAGCTTTCCTACAAGAGCAGCTACTACAAAGAGATTGTCCATGTACAGTGGTCAAGAAATTCATGTCACGCAGCTCAATATTTATTATCACGGCCTGGAAAAAAATTTAAATAAATATTTCTTATTGTATTTTTTCTACTTTTCTATCCGGTTCAATCAGAGTGATTTATTAGAATATGTTCCATTCATTTCATCTTGTCTTATACTCTCTAACAGAATATTAATCTAATCTAATTAAATGGCTTGAAAATTTTTAGAATATCTCACCATTCAGCATGACCAGACTATAGCCTTGCAATTTATGTTAACAAATTTAAACTAGGCACTTGTTCACTTTTATTTGTATGTAACAAAGCATACAAACCCAAAATAAATTGTATTACGTACAGTGGGGTCTCTACTTAAGAACGTCCCTACTTAAGAACAATTCCACTTAAGAACAGCTCCATTTGCTAAATTTTGCTTCTACTTGAGAACAAAAATCCAGATAAGAACAGGAAAAAAAAACTTTCCTGCTCTTTTTTTAACCTTAGGTCATCTTAGGTTAAAAAAAAGTTCTCCCCCTAGTGGTAGAGTACGTATTAACCAGCTTTGCATTAGTTCCTATGGGAACTAATGCTTCAATGTACGAATGCACCTCTACATAAAAAAAACAGCCAGAACGGATTAATTGGTTTTCAGTCCATTGCTTCAAAATTAGCTTTGTCAGAAGTGCTTTTAACACTGTTCCCTGACCTAAGGGGAAAAAAAGAAAAAAATCCCCCTCTAGTGGTAGAAGGCGGAATAGCAGCTTCCCATTAGTTTCTATGGACGGAAAAGAGCAGATACGGATTAAATGGTTTTCAATGCATTCCTATGGGAAATGCAGATTCTACATAAGAACTTTTCCACTTGAGAACCACCTTCCAATACGGATTAAGTTCTTAAGTATAGACCCCACTGTACACGGGAATCACTGATTTATACCCTCAGACTTGGGTTGCTTTATTACCTGTGTGCCTGTGGGGTCATGAAGCTTGTATTTTGAATGCCTTTCTTTTGAATGTCTCCAGCAAAAATAAAACTGAAAGCAAAAGCACCCGGCCTCTTAAAGAGCACGGTTCCCTCCCACCCCAGGATGTGTCCTTGTTCGGTTGAAATTGAGAGCAGGGAATCTCCATATTCTCCAGCATGGGACTACTCTACATTATCCTGCAGAGCTATATCTCTATGTGCCGCTCAAACTCTCTTCTCACAAGAAGAGGGCAGTTTTCCTTTTGCAATGGGAGGGGAAGGGGAGGACTGCAGGATTAGGGAGAGAGAAGAGAGAGGGTTGTCAAAGAAACATTTTTCACTCATCACAGATGAGTGGACAAGTGCATTTTTCAATCCGTTTATTATCCTTTTCTCTACATGTAACACACCACCATAACACACCACCAGCTGCCTAGAGTGGTCCTCACCGACCAGATAGGCAGGTATAAATTAATAAATATATAAATATATAAATAAATAAATAAATAAATAAATAAATAAATAATCTTAATCGCAATCAAATAGAATGAAAATGATTTATACTGTCTCAGTATATGCATACTAATTGGTTAAGTCTGCACATCTGCAGAGGTCTCCAGAATATTCTAGAGCTGAAACAAGCATTCACTAGGACCGCCCCCTAGTGCACATGGTCCGCCCCTCCTAGCAATTGCCTCAGTTCCTTTTTGCTGCTGCTGAGGTCTCATATCTTGAGCTCCATTTGTGCGAATTTGTTCTTTCTGAAAGAAAACAAATTGTCTTTTCACTAATCCTATCTCTACTTGATTCATTATCTGTCATCACCCTTTTCCGCCCCCCTTCCCCTCTCCTTTTTCCCGCCTTTTATGGCCCCAATGGGCCCCTTCAAAAAGTGCACTTCTTGCATGAATAAACTGCCGATCTCTGACAGACACAACGCTTGCCTGTTCTGTCTCAGAGAATCACATCAACCATCCACTTGCCCCAACTGCAAGAGTTTTACCAAACAAGCCATTAAACTCCAGCAGCAGCTGGAGATCCTTCCTGTGGGAGCAGTCCCTTCAGCCTCCACCTAAAATGGACAGTTCTCAGGCTTCGCAATTACCGGCTTCCTCACCACCAATTCACCGTTACGATCTCCGAAAATCAAATCCAAACCACCTAAATCCAAATCGTCTGGCTTGGCATCTCATTCCACTCCAACATCCAAAGCTGCATCAAAGTCCACCGGTACCAAACTGAAGAAGTCGAAGAAGCCATCTGCGGAAACCCAGCTCTCAGTACAGAGCCAACTGACTGTCGACCTTGATACCAACAGGGAATCCGTCCTGCCACCCTTGGGTCAGCCACCTTCTCCTCTGCTCGCCCGATCGCCATCCTGGACAGATATTTTGGCGGAGGTAAACGCCTTACCATATTCGCCCTGTTTGAGCCCCAAATCCTTGGCTGGCTCCATGTCTGGGTGAGAATCTGGATCGGTGCCCATTTCTGATCCAGTTACCGTTAAAAAGAGGAAATCTAAACTCCACCATACCGAAGATACTGGCCGTTTCAATACCATTGCTTTCCAGCCTCCAAGTCATTTGAGACTGCCGGTATTGCCAGGCTCACAGACTTATCGTCAAAACACCAGTTTATTTTGAACCGCCACCTAAACTGTACTGCCACCGCCATCGGTACTGGCACCACAAACAGTTCATCGATCCTCGTATGCAATATGCATACTACTATTCATCCAACTCGTCCGCCTCTTCATCTCCTTGGTACCAGCCTACCTATTCCTACGGTGAACCCTTGGACATTGAGAGTTTTCCGGTTCCGGTACCAAAGTCCCGTACCAGAAACCATAAGTGACACACAAATGCTACCTCGGTCCCAGCGGTACTGAAGAAGTCTAAGTCGTGTTCTCGACACTCCACACCAGCCCCCTCTTGGGACCGATCATCATCCATACAGGCCATTACAATTTATGCAGGCCCTCCTCCCGATACTGTAGAGTCTTCAAAACCTCAGAAGAGGAAGCCAGACCCTCCTGCACAAGGAGTACAGGGAAAACACGACGCTATACCTTCTAAACTTCAGCGAGTTGAACCTTCTCCCAATACTTTCACATCTTCTTCCTCTCAACAATTTTACTCTGACTCTTCGGAGTCCTTGCCCCTTCAGGAGTCTCCACCTAATCTTGCTACTCCCAACTTGGACGTCGCCGATGCCAATCCTCCTTCCCCATCTGAGGATTTCGCATCATACTCCCAACTTGTCCTTCGCATCACCAAGGCCATGGACCTTGACGTCCAACATCCTACCCAGTCCGAATCAGACAAAGTATACGAAGATATTGATGAAGATCAACCCCCTTTTGCATGAGGTTCATTCCACCATTAATGAAACTTGTCAAACAGTCCTGGACCAAGCCCTCTTCGGTATCACAAATCTCCTGAAGGGTAGAAAATCTCTATAAAATCCATGGTACCAGCATTGACTTCCTCTCCAAACATCCCCCACCTAATTCTGTGATTGTGGATGCCACTCAGACTCATTCCCGAAACTGTTCCCAAATAACAAAGAGGGTAAAAAATTAGATATAATCGCTTGTAGAATTTACTCACTCACTTCATTTACCCTCCGCGTTGCAAATGACCTAGCAGCTATGAGTCGGATGAATTGCAAGAACAAAATTACAGTTTAACATTAAAGATTTTCTATACATTGGTTCAGTAGTCATTCAGGATGGGAACTTGAGCCAGGAAATCAGAAGACTGACAATTGGAAGGACAGATCTGAAGGAGATAGATAATATGCTGTAGTTTAAACTGGAGACAAAGGTAATACTACAGAGTTCCTGATTACTGTGTACCAGCATGAAACTTGTAAGAAAGGAAGTTGATTCATTTGGAAGCTATGCTAGAGAAGAGATTTATGAACACCCTGGACCACTAGAAAGACAAATAAGTGAGTTCTAGATTGAAATAGGCCTGAGCTCTAACAAGAAGTTAAAGTGATTAAATGGAGGCAGTTGTACTTTGGACATGTCATGAGACAGCAAGGTGTACTGAAAAGGATCATAATACAGTGGTGCCTCGTATAACGAGTGCACCGTATAACGACGAATCCGCATAGCGATCCCTTCTCCGGGATCGCTAATGCGGAGGCATAGCATCTGTCCATATGGAGAAAACTCACTTACCAAAGGGTGCCAGGAAGGAGCTGCCGCCGCCGCGAGAGTGATGCGGGGCCACGCTGGCCAGGAAGAGGAAGGCAGGCTGTAAGGCAGGCAGGCGAAGGGAAGGAAGCCCCGTGTTTGCGCGTCCTCCCCCCCCACTTTCCCTCTTCCTCCTCGTCCTTCTCCTGCCGCCCCCAGGGACGAAGGCAGGCTGCAAGGCAGGCAGGCAAAGGGAGGGAAGCTGCGCGTTCGCGCGTCCTCTTCCTCCTCGTCCTTTTGCCGCCCCCAGGGATGAAGGCAGGCTGCGAGGCAGGCAGGCGAAGGGAGGGAAGCTGCGCGCTCACGCGGCCTCCCCCCCCACTTTCCCTCTTCTCCTCCTCTTGCTGCCGACCCCCCAAACCTCCCACAGAGTCGGGCGATCAGCTGTTTGGCGGTTCTAAAATGGCCGCCTGACGCCCGAAATGTCCGAATGCAGCGTTTTCGCGCCCTCCCCTCGCTTACCGAGGGCGCGAAAATGGCTGCCGCTATGGAGGAAACTTCGCTGAACGGTAAGTTTAGGGCCAATTGGAACGCATTAAACGATGCTTAATGCGTTCCAATGGGCTTTTACATTCCGTTTAGCAACAATTTCACATAGCGAGGTTAATCCGGAACGGATTAACCTCGCTATGCGGGGCACCACTGTACAGTACTAGTGACAGAGGTGCAGTATTACCAGGATACACCAGGTGGCGCTAACAGTAGAAAACCTCCCTGAGAGATGAAGACGCCAATCAATAGTGTTGATAGAAGTATAGTTGTATTATTTACAGGATATATACACAAATATACAGCTTAGTCCTTGTTTCCAGTCCAAGGTCATGCATAGCAGTTCAGCAGGGTTCAATGCATAAATCAGAGTCAAAGTCCTTGTAAATTAGTTCAGTAATCATTTACCATATGAGCAGTTCTTCCAGGATCTTTCCACCACAACACCAACACCAACCAACCCACAGAGTGTGTGTGCTAGGTCTGCTAGCTTTATCTCAGGATTATCCAATCCTGAGATTTCTTCCTCAGCTGTCACACTTAACTCAGCTGTATAAATTCTAGCTATACATATTTTTACAGCTCTGATCCTGACAGATACTTACAGAATTGTATTCAACAATTCCACCAGGTTTAGTTTAAACCTGTCAACTAGGAAAAGCAGAAAGCAGTAGGAAAAAAGAAAGACCTGACATGGTATTGACTGACCAAAAAGAAACCTCTTTACAAGAATACTAAATATAAGATACACAAAAATTTGCATCACTTTTGAAATAGGAAATATGTGCTGTATTCAGCTGCAGTGCTGTCCATTTTTGTGTAAATAAGTGACTTTATATTGCAGTAGCCCCCAACCTTTTCTGAATCGCAGACCTGTTGAGGGGGTGGGGCACCGCTCATGGAGGAGCGAAGTACGCTCAGAGAGGGGTGCACATGAGGGGAGGGGCATGCTCACACACATGCATGGAGGGGAGGGGCGCAGATGACGGGCCATGTGTGCGGGTGGGGATGTGTGGGGGGAGTGCATGGGGAGGAGATCTGTGTGGCATGGCCATGGACCAGCATCAGGCTGTGGTACCGGGGCTTGGGAACGTGTGATATACTGTATGTCTAAGGAGGCATGTACAAATGTGCTATTACTTATGATTTTCTCTTTTCATTACTATCCAGTTTCTAAGAAACATGATCAAACTGATCATCAGTTGGAGAGTGTGTGGCAGTGGCTATATCTACTGATATAGACAGAATACAGTGGTGCCTCGCTAGACAGTTACCCCGCATGACAGTTTTTTCGCTAGATATTGACTTTTTGCAATCGCTATTGTTTCGTTTAGTCGTGTCCGACTCTTCGTGACCCCATGGACCAGAGCACGCCAGGCCCTCCTATCTTCCACTGCCTCCGGGAGTTGGGTCAGATTCGGTGACACTGTCCAACCATCTCATCCTCTGTCATCCCCTTCTCCTCTTGCCTTCACACTTTCCCAACATTAAGGTCTTCTCCAGGGACTCCTCTCTTCTCATGAGATGGCCAAAGTATTGGAGCCTCAGCTTCAGGATCTGCCCTTCCAGTGAGCACTCAGGGTTGATTTCCTTTAGAACTGATAGGTTTGTTCTCCTTGCAGGCCAGGGGATTCTTAAGAGCCTCCTCCAGCACCACAATTCAAAGGCATCAATTCTTCGGCGGTCAGCTTTCTTTATGGTCCAGCTCTCACTTCCATACATCACTACAGGAAAAACCATAGCTTTGACTATTTGGACTTTTGCTATAGCGATTCGCAAAACACCGATTCCTATGGGAATTTTGCTGGACAAAGTTTGGTCCCTGTTTCGCTAGACGACGATTTTGGCAGCTTCCTCCGCTTGCAAAAAATGTGTACAATTATTTCGCGAAACAGCGATTTCATTGGAACAGATTATCATCGTCTAGCGAGGCACCACTGTACTGAGTATTCTGTGTAATGGGTAAGAAAAACCTAGCAGTCAGCAGTGGCACTGACAGTGACTTCAATTTTTTTTTAAGTGACAAAGAAATGAACAGTGTTTTTTTTTTTTCCAAATTGTAGATCACCCTGGTCTAACAAGTTCCAGCCAAATAGAAAAATTCCAGGAGAAAGCTCAGATGGAATTGCAAGACTATGTTCAAAAAACCTATCCAGAGGATACATACAGGTATTTTATTTCAGAGGGAAGTGGCTTGTTTAAAGGGAAGGGGCGGGCCTTGCAAAACATAACTATAAAATTTTCTGATTAAAAACCAAAGGCACAATCTAGCCAAAGCCACTTTTTGGGTCTCTTTATGTCTTTTGGCAGAACTTTTGGCAGTCCTAAATATATTTACTATGTTGCTTCTGGGTAGACATTTATAAGAATGCATACAGTGGGACCTAAGATGCTTAACTTTGAGTAGATTGTGACAATGAAATCCACCATTCTTATGGATGTCTACCCAGAAGTAGATATTTATTGTTACTAGTTTGTAGATTTGTGACCAGTGGTAACTATTGTAGCTAAGCCTGGGAAAACTTCAGATAAAATAAAAAGGGACTTACTGCTATATTAATATGACAAGGAAAAGAAAAGATTGCTAATTTTAAAAACCCATCTTTTTGTTTGGATGCTACAATATAAGACATTCTGGCTTACAAAATTTGTTCCTTTATTTTGATATCAGACAGAACCATGAGAAGCAAATTTAATTTTTTTAGAAGCTGTCATACATTATATTTTATTTGGAAAATGTTCAGACTGCCAACTTCTTATAGACCACAGTTTTATTGTATTTGCCGGCGTATAAGATGACTGGGTGTATAAGACGACCCCCCAACATTTCCACTCAAAATGTAGAGTTTGTTATATATTTCCCATGTAAGACTCTTCCGCATGCGTGATTCTGCTTTGGCTGCATCATGGGGAGAGTTCGTTTTGCGACTTTTGGTTCCTTTTGCTGGGAGAGAGCGAGGGTTTGCTGGAAAAAGGACAGCATCGGCACTGAGCAGCTCACTGTCAGGAACCAGCAGAGAGGCGGCAGCCATTTGGGAGAGGTGGCAGCCATTTTGAGAGACAGCAGCCATGTGGTGGCATCTCAAAATGGCTGCCACCTCTCTGCTGGTTCCCGACAGTCACCTGTTCGGCGCTAGAGTCAGGCTGTTCCCAGGCTACCAAGGAAGAGCTCGGTCTACTCGGTCTTACTACCAGGTAAGTGACTTCGCTGTGTGAGAGAGGGACGGTTTGCTGGAAGTGCAGCCGGCGTATAAGACAACCCCCCACTTGGAGGCATGTTTTTCAGGGCCAAAAAGTCATCTTGTATGCTGGCAAATATGGTATATCAAAACCTGCTTAGTGTTCTAAGCTTTCTTTCCTGTTCCCAAGACATTATTTGAAAAATGCTTCCTGTTTGCTTAGAACTTTATCCATTCTTATTGCCAACTTTTATCAAGGCTGCTCCTTTTTCAGAAACCCCACAAGTGCCCGTTCTTTAGTTTCAGGACTCATAAGTATCAGACCCCCAGAAGTAATTTGAACTGTGCCTTTACATACTTCCACAACTTTCTTATTTCAGACTAGCCCGAATTCTTGTTCGCCTGCCAGCACTTAGACTGATGAGCTCTAGCATTACTGAAGAACTCTTTTTTACTGGGCTCATTGGAAATGTACCAATTGACAGCATCATACCCTATATCTTGAAAATGGAGACAGCCGAATATAATGGTCAAATAACAGGATCATCTTCCTAGAAGAATCAGTGTTTTTCTGGATCAGAGTACACTGTTTAACTTGGATAATATACTTTCCAACATATACCAATTTTTGTTGTTGATGTTACTTTCTCCTGTCTATATTGAAAGATAAGTCTTAAAAACAGTTGTGCAAAGCCTTTTTCTAGGACCCATTTCTGCCAGAAGAAAATATTTTAATTCCTTTTATTGAAAAGTCCACAGCGTATTGCTGAATGCGCTTCTTATTTAGAAACTGACAGTGACTTCAAATGCCAGAATGCTAATTTAGAAGAATTAAATTAAAAACAGTGATCTGAATTTGAAGAGCTGCACATGGAAGTCTAGTCATGCATTGCGGTTCCCTGGTCCCCACTTCCTTTTACAACCTCTTATGGTCTCTTTCCTCCAAAAGGGCGCTCCTAAAAATCAGAGTTGTTTTCAGATTACTGTCTAATGAAGCATGGTGGGTTGTTGCAGAAGTGAAAGTTTTTCCTATGGACAAAAGGACTCTTTAAATTCAAGTCTGTATTTATGTATTTTTAAAAATCTTTTGAATTAATGTTTAAATTCTTGGGATATGGTAATTATCCACTTTTTAAAGCACTTGGTAAAGCTACAACATTGAAACTGTACATTGTCTTGCTTGTATAAGCAGAGTAAATCATTAATAGCATTTTAAATTACAGACACACTTTACTGATTTCTGTGGAAACACAACAAGCTGTGGATGACAATCATTTGTGCTACAAAATACCAGTTGTATATGTTTATTAGTAATACAGTTGTTTTAAGGATATTTCTATACTATTTGAAATTTAAACTTGGCTAAATTAATGTAACTGTTTACATTACAATGCAAAAGAAACATAATGTTATGTAGGATTTATTCACACTGAAGGATAGCATACTAACTTCTTGCATTTGTCATGAGAAAGTGGTCGGATTTTTAAAAGGCTTAGTCCCAGCCTCCTGCTGTTTATTTACAAATGTTTCATCACAATATACTATTTAAAAATAACTGTTCTGTGTCCATCACAGTTTCAGTAACAACTGTGTGCTCCTGAGTGGTTGCATATACATTATAATTTCAAAGGAATTCCTTCTCTTTGAAACTTGAAAAGACTGATTTTGGCATATCACATGCTCCTATAGTACAGTGATTGCTGACGAATATGACGATCAGCCTTTTTCCAAGTACTTCTGCCTCCAGTTCCAACCTAATATGTTATATTCTGATCCACTTTACAGGTGTCTTTTCCCTGTTGTGTCATGACAATCTCAGCAAGGGAGGGGAGAGTCTACAGTTATGTAGCCCAATAGTATGCAAATTGTATGATGCCCTTTCTTCCATTATTATATGTTTTAGAGCAGCCATTCTCAACAGGGGCCGTATGGCCCCTGGGGGCCCCTGGTACATTTGAAGGGGGCCACAGACTGGCAACAATTCTTCACACGACACCTTATACCATCCTGATTCAACCTATATTTTTTTCATGTTGTGTTTATGGTCATGGACAAAAGAAAAAAAGGTTGAGAATGGCTGTTTTAGATGATGTGCTTTGTTCTGCAGTTTCTACACTGCAGTTAAGACTATGAAATTCCCTACATCAAAATGTAAGGATGGTTCTCAATTTAAGACATCTTTAAAAGGAGACTAGGAAATTCATGACGAGTAAGGCTTACTAGTGGCTACTAGTTACGCAGGCTGCATGTTACCTCTAGGGCAGTGTTCCTCAACCTTGGGCCTCCAGATGTTCTTGGACTACAACTCCCAGAAGCCTTCACCACCACCTCTGCTGGCTAGGATTTCTGGGAGTTGAAGTCCAAGAACATCTGGAGGCCCAAGGTTGAGGACCACTGCTCTAGGGTATCAGGTGCTGGGAAACATGAGTGGGAGTATATATGCACTCTTATCCTGCCTGTCCGCTTCTAGCCACTGCCAGGTTGATAACTCAACAAATAGAATGCTAGACCAGTAGACTGTTGGGATGATCCAGGATGGTTCTCATTACACTTAAATATGTATATGTAGTTGCAACAACATGGACTTTACAGTGATGATTCCCTCAATTATGTATACAATATTTTATTTTTCCACATCTCTTGTCTATGTGTAAGAACAGTCCCATATCTGAGGGATCCATGATAGAATCTCAGGAGACTCATTTGATTTAAAGTACTAAGAAGTATACAGTAGGAACCCATATCCACTGGGGATTGGTTCCAAGCCCCCCACGGATACTGAAACCTTCATATAATCGCGAACACTGTGTATATTGCCTGGTAAAAAGGAAAAAAAAATATTGTTCACATGCATTACCAGAACGGGTCACTAGAGAGAGCCAGACACTGCTATGTATTGTTCATTAATAAGTATTCATAGCATGGTCTCTGGCTCCCTCTATTGTCAGGTTCTGGTAATACATGTGAAAATAGTTTTTTTTATGATTTTTTAAAATGTTTTTAATATTTTCAGACCAGTCCTACTATATTTTGTATTGTAATATGTGTATATGTTTTCCAGGATTAAGGGTTTTTTTTTCCCTTGTTCTGCTTTGCTTTTGTTTTTAGCGCTAAATACTACTACAGTGGTGCCTCACACAACGATGTTAATTGGTTCCAAAAAAATCAACGTTGTGTGAAACATCGTTCTGTGAAAGGGCTCTTTGATCTCCGTTTGCCTTTTAAAGCGCCTCCCGATCTCCCTTTTCACTCCTGTAAAAGTATCTTACAATGTCTGGAAGCTGTTTTAAATGCTTGCACTGGTTAGCCCGCCTCCTGAACCCTATGCAAACTGATTTTGGTGTTGTTCTGACACTTCGTTAATTTATGATGATTTTTTGTTTTCTCCATTGGAAACCATTAGACAGACCATTCAATTGTTTTCAATGGAGAAAACAAAAAATTACCATAAATTAACGAAGTGTCAGAACAACACCAAAATCAGTTTGCAAAACGTTCCTCAACCATATGCTGAAAACAAAAAAATTATATCACTGGACCCTCTACTTACCCAACGCAGCACTAGCAACTCTTAACATTTCTACAGTATTCAGGGCCAGGGGTCTCTGCTTAGCCTTCTCCTTTTTAATCACAGACTCTACCTAGAAGACAAAGAGACGTGGCTTAGGAAGGTCTGAGGATCAGTCATAGACACTTGACAGAGAGGCTGCTGTATATCAAGTACAGCGGTGTCTCGCACAACGGGCACCTCATAGAGTGATGAATTCGCTCTATGAGGCCGGTTTTGTGATCGCAACTGCGATTGCAAAACGGTGCCTGCATAGGGCGAAAATCACAGAGCGAAGGTCGGTAAGCGGTTCGCTTACCGACCTTCGCTTTGCGACCCGCCAATCAGGTGTTCAGCGGCTACAAAATGGCCACCGGAAGCCCCAAAATGGCCACGCGCAGCGTTTTCGCGCCCTCGTAAAGCGAGGGGAGGGCGCGAAAATGGCTGCCGGCCATCCTGAAGCATCGCTGAACAGTGAGAATTCGGCCCAATTGGAAACCATGTTTAATGCGTTCCAATGGGTTTTTATGTTCCGTTCAACGATGCTTTCACACAGCGAGGGACCACTGTATTTTTCAAATTGGCCTTCATTTGAAAACATTCTGGCACATTTTTGTTTTTTGTCTTCATGTTAAATGCTCATGTTTTCCAGGATTAAGGGTTTTTTTTTTCTTTCTTGTTCTGCTTTGCTTTTGTTTTTAGTGCGAAATACTACTACTTACTGTCACTGTGCTTTTCACATCAGAGAAAATCACATAAAAATATTTATTTTTCAAATTGGCCTTCATTTGAAAACATTCTGGCACATTTTTGTTTTTTGCCTTCATGTTAAATGCTCATGTTGCATCAGAAATGCCTTTTTTTAAACAGACACTGGTCTGTCTTGTAACATTATGCCCATCATAAACAATCTTATTTATATTTAAGGGTATAAACTTATAGCCCTAGAGGTCAGTTAGACCAGCAGTGTAGTCACAGACCAGCCATATCTATTCATGGGACTAATTCCCAATTAATGTGCATAGGATTGCTGTGTAAGATATATTCATTATACTCCTAGGTGTGTGCAAATCAATGTATCTATTGAAGCAGTCTTCAATAGATTGAAAAGTTGAAACAATGAAAACTAGAAACAGTGTGGTCCTTTGTTTTACCTTTGGCTCCTGCTTTAGTCTTCTTTCTTTTATTCTGCTTAAATTTAAAATAATTTCTACACAGGAAAATTGGATTTGAAAATTATAATGAAAATTAGCTGAGTTTTGTCCTAAGTAAAGAGCCAACAGTATGACTACCTGTCTAGGAGCAGCGTGAGTTTGCAATAGAATTGACTCAGTGCTGTCATGATGAACGTTCATGTTACGTCCCCTTATAAAACCTAAAAACTAGTTGCAACCTAAATTGTATACTTAAAAAATTCTCACAACACTGTTATAGTGATTTGTTGTGAAAGAAGAAAATGAAGCCTAAACCCAGTGTGATACTTTTGATGGTGTCATGATATTTGGTCTGTCCCATTCCCCTGTTCTTTGTAGCACTCAGAGCTGCCAAAAACCAGTTGCAGAGGCTTTCCATTTCTCTCAAACAGGCTTTTTAATATAGTTGGGAGAGAGTTATAATGGGGGGGGGGTGTGACTCTGCTCTAAAATACGTTTAGCATCAGATAGAGCCCCCAAAATCTACAGAGATCTCTTAGGAGCTAAGATGTACATAGTCTATCCCAAAAAGCATATGTTGGTTTTGTCATGGTTCTATTTTATTAGATTTTTGTTTTGTATACTTCCTTGACCCATGCAATAAAAATCAAATATTTTAGAGACATAAAGATTTTAGTATGCATTTTTAATAAAATATGTAGTTTCAATAATATCTAAGGCTAAAACACTCAGAATTAAGACCCAAAATATTTCCATGAAAGACCTAGATTAGCATATGTTTTGAATTTAAATAAATAAATACCTTTTTTTGAGAGAGAAAGTTGTTACTCAAGTCCATGTGATACAGTTATGCACATTTCCATCTTCAGCCCACTCAGCAATTTATTTCTGCTGACCCGGGCAGAACCACATTAGTCTAGATCATTTATTGATGCTAAAATATTGACCTAGATGCATTTGTCAGTCCCACCTAGAAGTGTAGCATGTTAACTAACAAAGTTCGCACTGATTCAGTAGGTCTACTCTAACTGGTCCTAATAATTGGATTTGGGGCACTATTTTAGTTCATGGTCTATAATGATATGAAGTATTTCAGTTCTAAAGCCTCCCCCCCCTATAAAGCACCTCTTGGTTATTCACTGGTTATCATTTTACTTTTATCCTATCTTACATGCTGCTAACAGAATTGGTTTTGTAATTAATAATTTCTGAAATAAGGATATCCAGTGGATTTCACAGCAAGATACTCATTTTTTTGTTTTTTCTTGCTGACCAGATAATAATTTAAATTAGGAAACTTTGACAAACCTACAGTCATATGAGAAAGAAAGTATGCCCTCTTTAAATTCTATAGTTTTACATATCAGGACATAAGAAAAACATCTGGCCAGTAGCTGGTTTGAAAATTAGGTAAGTACAACCTCGAATGAACAAAACATGACATATTACACACTGTGTCATGATTTAACAAAAATAAAGCCAAAATAGAAAGGCAATATGTGAAAAGCAAAGTACTGTATACCTTATGATTCAATACTGTATCTTGTAGAGCCACCTTTAACAGCAATAATTTGAAGTAAACATTCTCTGTAGAACTTTATCAGTTTTTCACATTGTTGTGGAGGCATTCTTCTTTAAAATGTTGCTTCATTTGATTGAAGTTTGCGGGCATTTGTTGATGCACAACCCTCTTAATGTCCCACCGCAGCATTTCAATCGGGTTGAGATCTGGACTTTGACTGGGCCTTTGCAACATCTTGATTCTTTTCTTTTTCAGCCTATCGTTTGTAGATTTGCTAGTGTGCTTGGAATCGTTGTCCTGTTGCATGACCCAGTTTTGGCCAAGCTTTAGCTATCAGACAGATGGCCTCACATTTGACTTTAGAATGCTTTGATATACAGAGGAGTTTATGGCTGACTTAATGACTGTAAGGTGCCCAGGTCCTGTGGCTGCAAAACAAACCCAAATCATTATGCCTCCACCACCATGCTTGACAGTATGAGGTGTTTGTGCCGATATGCTGTGTAATATGTCCTGTGTTGTTCTTCGTCTAAGGTTGTATTTACCTAATTTTCAGACCTGCTAAGGACCAGACAATTTTTATTATGTCCTGATATGTAAAAACTACAGAATTCAAAGAGGGTTTTCTTTCAGGTGACTGTATAGTGGCATGGACCAGCAACCTTTTGGGAATGTACAGTGATAGACTAGGACTCTGGATTCAAATCCCCACTCAGGCATGGAAGCTCTTTGGGGGAATGGAACTGGTAAAACCACTCCTTAAAAACTCATTTACATTGAAAGCCCTATTAGGATCTCTATAAGTCAGTTCCAACTTGACAGCACATGTCAACAAGGAAATGAGATCAATGAAGCATGATGAACAACTGCAGGGACTTTCATTGACTTTCTTAAAAGGTCCTTGTCAAGTTAACTTCCAAGTGAATGCCAATTATTGAAAGGAAGATTTGAATGGTGTGATTTTTGGAATGTATCTGAGTCCTTTCCATCTACTTCAGCTGTTATAGGCAAAGTATGTGCCAGGAAAAAAGAAGTGCAAAGATGGCTGTATTTATCTTTATTTGCACTCTTGTTAGAATACAGCTTCTACATACTTTGTTCAGAAAATAGTATAATCATTAACTCGGTTTATTTGCATACAAAAAAGTGTGTGTCTGGCAAAGTCCCCCCCCCTTTCTCTCTTAGTGTATCTCCTCCTGCCACTAAACAGCCAGGAACTTTTGTAATATTGGGGAATTTTAAAGATAGTATCATTCTGCATACTAAAGTTCTGGTCCAGGAAAAGAAATGAAAAGATCTGTGCGTCCAGATCCTTATTTGAACTGGATCCACTCCATGTAAAAATAGGATGTGACAGAGCATGCCTCCATCAGTCTAATCTCATTGAGTTCCTTACATTGTCACAAGAATGGACTTCCTTTCTTCCTCCTGCAACATCTTCATGCCTCTTTTGGAATGTCCTTCAACCCTTGTGAGCAGATTTGGGGGGCTCTGTAGGCTCCAGTCTGGGGTGGGAGAATCTGTTCCACCAAAGCAGATGGACATTGTTGAATATAACCCAATGTGTAATGATTACTGACACCATTATGTGCCTGATTTGGTATATTCTGTGTAGATCTTGGGATTGGTATAATGCAATCCTGAAATCTTGTAGTATTTTTCTCCGCTAAAATTATTATTCGTGGGTTAAATTGTGGTGATTGTAAGACTATCATGTCACTAAGAAGAATTCTTTATGTGAGCATTTCTAATGCTTGTTTTGTTGAAGATGAGAATTTGCTTTATCTTACTAAGTACAATTGTTTGCTTTAGAAGTTCCTCTGAAGTCATTGGGACTTAACAGTGTATATACAAATTGAAAGAATCTGCATTTAAACAAATGTACAAGATAACCTGTCTAATGTTATCACAATTATGATTTACTTCAGAGGAGCTTACTCTGATTTACCAGCAGGTTCTGGAGATAGTTTGTAATTAAAAGTTCTAAGTACAATTACAGGTAAGTAACCTGTCCAACTTAACAGTTGTAAAATATGCTTCTATAGCTATTAGCTGTTTCTCCCAAATCTCTATGTAATGTGGTAGTAGGGTGGAGGGGATATGTCATTCAAAATTTTAAAGAAGTTTAAAACCCCTAACTTAATTAAAACAATATTGCTTTTAAATCTTGGTCATATTTATTTGTGGATACAATACTGATTTGCTAATATGTAACTGGCACATCCAGTATATTATGTACAGTGTAATAAGTATGTATCTATGTATATAGAAATATGTACAGTCATACATATATGCCAGATTTCTATATGTTAAGAAAACATTTATAAACGCATTGCATATCTTGAGCTTCCCAAGTCTTCTTTCTTGCTCAGATCTTGTATATGAATTCCCACTTTCCTCAGTCAATTGGGCCCATTTCTAAATACATAATGTATTAGCAATTTCTTCTGTATACAAAGAGAAACTATTTAATAATTCCATCTTATTTCTAAATAAACCCTGTTGAAATGAATGGAGGTTGTATAGTGACAGTGTTCAGTGAATTCCTCTGGTGGACCATAAACATTTCTGTGTATTTTCAGTATATACTGAAGGCACTTTCTCAACTTTTCTGATGCATTTTGTGTGTGTGCTATTTTCTCATTTTAGCATGCAGAACCTGATCTTTGTAATTTTAATACTGTATTGTGTGCATGTCCCTTGAAGTTGCCAATTAGAATGAACAAGGCTGTCACTCAATAGAAGTGTTTTGTTTTATATGGGCGACTATCTTGTTAAAAATGAGAACCCGGCATAAATTTAGCAGGCAGTGTCATAAATGTCACTTTCAGCTAAGCAATCTGTGGTGCTGCTATTTTATCTGGTAGATACCATACATGGTTTTTTAACTACTATTTGAAGGAACATTTTTAAAGTGAAAAGTTATGAGTGGACAATTAATATGAGAGACAACATATCAGCAGAGTTGAATTTTGTAATACAACTAGTGAAGTCTGGGAGAAATTACAAGTCACTATAGAGAAAAATAAGTTGAGATTCACACCCACTATATTATTTACTGTCTTCACTAAGCCCTGTTTATATGATTACTCTAGTAATATAGAATGAAGTACAAATTAAATATAATCAGGTTAAGGAAGACAAAAAGTCCTTCAGTGGATTTTTAAAGGCTTTGATACCAATACTAAGCCTTACTTTCTACACCCTGACCTTAGATTGTGCACCTTTTAAAAGGAACAGTCCAAGCCTGAACTATTAAAATGTTGGATATATACATTCTTAATCATTTTTAAAGATTAGTGTTGGTGAAATAAAAAGTACCACTAGCAAAGGTATACAGCATAACACTTCCACAGCCCTGCACAAGGTGGGATTCTGGGTTCTGATTAGAAATTTCAGAAGGCATGTTAAAAGATGTGGGACATAATTTTGGGAAACAAACTGCCAGTCTCCGTTTCTACTGTGTAATAAATATACATTGGGCAAAATCCTGTTGTGCATCTCTACACACATGCAACTGAACATTGCACTCACAATAGTTATAACAGCACTAAGGCTGTTGTGTTGTCCATGAAGCATTTCCGCCAGCACATTGCAAAATTGGTTGCACTGTGGATGCATTACCAGCTGCACAACTGAAACAAGCAATTCCTTGTTGCTGGGTGTAATGCCTGGCACAGTTACAATGTGAACAGAATTTTTACCTGTTAGATTTTTGTTTCATTAGTTTATCTTAGGAAACACAGGAAAGCTCCATTGCAGATCTAACCCAGTTTATGCAAATTGTGTTTCCCTGAAAATAAGACAGGTTCACATTAATTTTCCTCAAAAAAAACCCCACAAAAACGCAGCAAGGCTTTACTTCAGGGGATGTTTTATTTTTTTTTTCATGTAAAACAGTCTACATTTATTCAAATACAGTCATGTCATCTTCTGTACATATGATGGAGGGCAGGGTTTCACTTAACTAGGGCTTATTTGGGGGGTGGGGCTTATATTACAAACATCCTGAAAAATCATACTAAGGCTTATTTTCAGGTTAGGTCTTATTTTTGGGAAAACAGGGTATCTACTGAAAAGTAGTCCCAATGAATTCAATAGATTTTACATAAAAGTAAGTTTGTGTTGGGCTGCAGCCTTAGTGTCATGACAATCAGTACTCTGCTTGCTTTTATTAAATTTAAAATGAAACGGAAAATCTATTATTAAATATTTTTCTTATTTTGATTGTTGCTTAAATGAACAAGAAAATAAAGTCTTTGTTTTAAATGTATTGAAGATGTGACATCCTCCAGTAAATCAATTTCTGTTGTGAAACAAAATGAGAAGAATGTATGCCAGGAAATCTTGCTAATTAGCCACCTCTAATAGCATAAAGGTAACGTCCCTGTCCTGAAGGTATTACAATAATTTTTGATTCCATTTCTATGAATAATTTAGAAACAAGTATTTCTTTCTCCTTTTTTCTCTATCTGTACAGGGGTTTGTAAGGGTAGGGAGGAAAATTTCAAAAACAGAAATTTCATTATAGGGCTGAAGAATTTGAGTGGCATGTTTACCAAGTGTGAAAAGACATAACCAACAATTGATTCTAAATGTAATATAAAGCCATTATTTCTAACTCTTTTGAAACTGGATAGGGTGATCCTGCTTATATTTAACTATTATATATTATTGTTGTATGTATTTGGAAAACCACTCAAGCTTTGAGCTCTTAGTAAAAGTATCCTGTTTGCCACAAGAGGAATTGTCTGTGATAATTCCCTACCGTATCTTTTGTAACCCTCCTTTCATTGTTTATTCAAATATTGTCTCTGTATATAGCGTGCATGTGTGTGTGTGTGTGTGTGTGTGTGTATCTATAGATATATATATATATAGATATACAGTATATATACACACATACATATCATTTCAGGTTGAAAACCTGACAAAAGCTGTTGGTTCCTTAGTTTATTTTGTGAATTCATCTCTGTAAATGTGATAGCATTTAAAATGGCATGTTTTTTTATTCTGAATTTTTATATCTAATCAAGAGTCTTCAGTCATGAAGAAAAATTGCATTGTTGTGTGTGTATACAGGATATTGCAGTGCATGCTTATGCATTTTATTAAATGCTGTCTAAATGTGACATTACATTGTTGTGGCTTAATACTGCTGCCTACAGAAGGTTTATACAGTACTATTAAAATAAAGACTCTTACATGATCTTTGATTTCAACTGTTCTATTGATGTATTTGAACAAGTGAGGGATTATAACCCTAAAAGGGACCCAATGTTGGGCGAACGGAAAGAGCAGCGAACTAGGAGCCCTGGGTCCCAAAGGTATTCTCGGCCACAAGGGGGCAGCAACGGCAAACCCCATCTTAAATCGGATGTCGTTTGCTAGCGCGTGGCGCACATGGCAGTTGAAGCCCCTGCACGCGAACCTGGAGCCGCCGCTGCTCCAAACAGCCCGACCGCTGTAAGGGGCCAGGATCCCAGTCACACAGACGTCCTCGTTCTGGATCCAAAGGGTGGGGGGCGGCGGTGCCTGACCGTTTGGAAGACAGCGCGGGGCTCATTGACGTCTGGCACAGCAAACGAGCGCCAGCTCCCCGTTTCCCCCGCCTCTGCAGGCGCGCACCCGCAGCAGGGCGAGGCGCCGTGACGGACCCCAAACGTGGCGCAGGTTTCCTCAGAAATAAATCCCGCTTGAACTCGGTGGGATTTCCTCACAGAAGGATGTCGCGCTCTTGTCTCCCGCGCTTCTCTGCCCTTGTACGTCTGAGGCCAGTCAATCGGGGGGAGCGGGGGAACTACGGTTCCCACAAGGCAGCGCGGCTAGGCGGGGCTTCGGCGTTTCCTCTCCCGCCGGGCGCTCTCTCTGGTTCCGGGCGGCCGGGCTGCT